TGTCCTCGATGCCGCAAAAAACTTCCACATCCTCACAGAAACTTGGTGATCGTCTGTGCGCCGGTCGATCGTCCCGAAGTTCCGTGTCAAAATCCATGGTGCCCAAGGTATTGTGCCCACTTCCCAAAGCTGGCAACGTGCAGAGTTCAAATGATAGCTCAAGTGCACGTGAGGCGGCTTCCCATGGTGATGTGAAGTTCTGTTCAGAGACAACGGAGTGTGCCCATCCCAAAGTGTAATCCACCAAATGTGGAGAGGTGGCTGGCTTCCCACAGGAATACTCTTGAGTCATCCGCTGTGAGCCCCACCAAAAGGCTGCATCGATGGCGCAGCTAAGGGCTTGGAGCCTGTCGGCGTTGGCTCCGCCTGGACATCCTTGCGTTGTCGTTTCTTTTGTTGTTCTTCTGCAGCAGCATGTTCGAGATCTGCTTGTTGAGCAAATTCTCCCAGAGACGTCGTCAGATGGGTGAGTCCATCTTCGATCTTTTTGGAGCTCTCTGTGTTCATGAGTGCATCGTCCATCAATTCTGGATCTTCGTCCGCTTCGACCGTGATGACACCCCGATCTTGTAGCTCCTTGAAGATCGCTTGAGCTCTCTTGACGTCGTCTCTGGCCTTGGCAATCTGTTCCAAGTTGTGCTTCTCCTGACCTTGGAATCTCTGTGTATATTCTTGCCATCGTTGTACAGAGAGGTGAAGGAACTGCCTCCATGAAGCAAGGTTCTGCGCCCTGGCAAAGCAAACTTGCTCCAAGCGCTGCTGCGCGTTTCCAAGCTCCTCCACTGCTTCGTGCATTCCTTGTATCTTCTGCATCCCCTCGTTGACTTTGTTGTCTTTCATCACAGCTGCAACCTCCGCTGGGAGCTCCGTCTCGTTCTTCTTGAGGATGCCCATGACCTCCTTCAATTTGGTCTCCGCCAATGAGGGGGCATTCATAGGTGTCTCTTGGGGCGGTCCTCCAGCGGCATGATAGGGCGCTGCAAACTGCATCCATGATTCCGAGGGTCCAGATGGCGGTGGCATTGGTGGTGGCGGCAGAGGTGCCATTCCCTCTTGCCCCATTCCCTGTAAGGGAGACTGTTGCGACTTGTTCCCCTTGCCCTTGCCTTTGCCGCCTTTTCCTTTGCCTTCTTTTCCTTTGCCTTCTCCCTGTCGCGTCCTTTGAGATTTGGGCTTTTGCTGCCTGCTCCTGGGACTCGCACTCGATGCCCTGTGGCTGTGCCATCCATCCCAGTAGTCGTTCCCTTGGGTATAGCTGCGATAGCTCGTATGCCTGGAAGGGGTCTGTGAGCGCATAGATGACGATGCAGCCGTCTCCTGGTACGCATTGTCCGCACAGTCTTCCCAAAATTGTCCACAAGCCGGACAGAACATGTCGTTTCCCTTGATGAGCCTTCTGCAGTCTGCGCATTTCCATGCCGGCTTCTTGTGCGTCGTCATGGCTTCTGCAATCCTGCGAAGGAGTCCAGGGTCGCGTGAGTGATGGTGGTGAAGAGTATTCAAGAGATGCCTCAAGCCTGTGTTGTCCAAAATGCGCAACCCCTTCTTGTGCAAATGGAACTTGAACCGCGCTTGAGCTCTCGCTCTTCTTCCAGCTCTTCTCTGCGATGGCGTAATCCTTACCGGCAAAGAACAAAAAGAGGAAGATGAAGACCAGCAGGGTAAATGGCATACACCGGGACCGGGTCAAAGGCAATGCGACCGAAGAGGTCCCAAAAGCGCAAAGAGGTCCACAATGCAAAGCGCTAGGCCACCCAGTATTTTACGTGCCTGGGAGCACAGAAACCGAGGTGTTGCGATTTGGCCAGAATCGCAGAGCACAGCAAAAAGAAGGTCGATCCACCAAGGATGACCCGCGGGCTAGCGAAACACGGGGGTGCCCGCTAAGGTAATTGGAAGAAGCGTTCGATGGGCTCGCTGTGATCCAAAACCTTAGTAATTATATATATATATATATTTGTAATTTTACACAACCGACCGGTACCACACGCACACATTTCTGGCCCATGCAATCACAGTTCCATGCCTCCGAGCCTCCTGCCTTTACTCAGGACTCGGAGGTACCATTCTAAGCAACTTGGAATATCTTGGAGTTTGCCGATGCGAAACTAACGGCAGTGAATCCCCACTATAGATTAGACATGATCAGACCATATATTGCACCTGCTGCCAGTGTAGGGTCATTGCTTTCAAATTGAACTCCCTGCGCATGACAGTGCTGGGGAATCCTGAGATGAGACTGTGCCGTGGCTTGTGCTTCAAGGAATGTCATATTATATATATATATTTATATATATGGTAATCCTCAATACTTACCTTTTAATTACTTGTGTTGGTGCATGATAATTATACAATACATATATATATATACATGTACACATATTTTTTCTATGACCACTCACTTGACTCTGCCAAGGTAGTGATGATGGATTTCTGCTGCAGGTCCATCGCCGTCTCCGAGCTTCTCAGCACATTTCGGACTTGCACTGAGCCAACCAGAAAATGCATACAGTAAGTTGCTAAAGGCATCCAGAGGCCATAGATGGCCATATTTGACCATTTGCACAAAATAGTTGACCGTCTTTTTAAAATTACCAGTGATTGATTATTAGTGTGGTTCTAGTGTTTTTTTTCTCTTCGTTGTCAGGCGGCACGCAACTCAATTCGCAAATTCTGCAAGGCAGCACTAGCAAGGCCACGGTTTCAAACATGAAAGATAAAATGCAGATTTTCAAACTATATATATATATTATGATATAGATTTATAAAGACCAAACAGCGGCACGCATGGAGCCCCCCAGCAATCTCAATATGAACAAGGTGCTGATGCTTCTGGTTAAGCAGACAGCTGCTGGTTTCAACGCTTCCAGGGACATTTTCCAGCCTTCCCGCAATGCTACCTTGTATAACATTGACACGCCTATCCTTTCACAACTTGGAATCTGATTCTCCAACATCTTCAACGACTGAGAGGGAAACTATTGTTCATGGAGTAATTTTGTCAGTTTGCTGGTGTGCCCAGCTCCCTTTGCGCTTTGCAGCTTTCCTGCTTTCATTCTCAAGGCAGGGGAAAAAAACTAGAAGAAAACATTTTGACAAACCGTCATAATATGGCCATATTTTTTTTCTGACTGTGACTGCTGGAGTCTAGGGCCTTGAAGCAAGGTCATGCAAAGAGAGCAGTCGATGACTACGCTTGGATAGCATTCTGTGAAAAGCTTCTGAGATAAGTTGCTTTCCTTCTCTTGACCGGTTGGACGTGCTGGGGGTTAATCCTAGGCTTGGCTTCAGGATGTCCTTCACGATGCTCGTCGACTTGTGGAAGAATTCAGAGGGTAGACTGACATAGACTGATGTAGACTGTGCGAAGCACAGGTAGTGCGGGCTTGCCTCCCAAAACGCTCTCAAAGAGACAAGGTCACAAAGCACTTGGTTTTGCAGTTTGGAGAGTGGCACAAGATCAACGGTTCCAGATTGCCCAAAGCTTGGCAAACTCACTGGACCATACATAAATTACATAAATTCCTCTATTTTGTGGAAAAGAACTCTCTTTAAGCGCTGCTCAGCTAATAATTTCAAACGGAATCTCGAAATCTTAGGTGTGTTACTACCGAAACTATCCGAAACTCCAGGACTCTCTTGCACACATTCTGTGTGTGCGCATGTGGGTGCTGCTTACCCGCAGTGCTCATGTTGATGACTGATTTGCCTGAATGTTTCCGTCTATTGAAACAGATGGGGTGCTAGAAATCGTTCGGCCAGATCTGCCAGATTCCGGATTTAGGGCTGTTAATCCTGTGGGGCATGCACTATTTTAAGGCCGAGCTTGGCAGCTGCGACATTGTGCTGCTGGCTGGTATGGGAATCTGTGAGAATCTGTGAAGTGGAACGGCGTAACGGGCCTGCACTGCACGTGTTTCAGCAGCGATTGATAAGTCAATCCGCATATTAGAGCTTTCGTATCTCTCAAGTTTTCTGCATTTTCCCTTCCCAAGCAGAGATGATGTCGTTCCTCATGCTGGTCATGCCTGCGCGAAACAAGCCCCTGGCAGGGTATGTATCATCAATCAGGGTGCATTTGGGCATGATTTGATTTTAAAGGGAGCAGTTGGGAATACATGTTTCTCAGGCCAAGGGCTCTCAATCAACAGAAGATGCTGCTTGCTAGCCCTGACATTTCATACATTTCCATTGTCGTAGAACCCCTCATCACCAAAAGGTGGGTGCAAGGTCACTTTCCCTGAATTTTCTCCCTCATTCCACACGCAATGTTTCGCAATGTATGCTGCTCTGCCAGGACACACACTGGCAGCTCAGCGCTGGGTGCTCAGCACATCTCAGCACGTCTCAGCACATTCAGGTTAAAGCCGGTCAAAGCCCTTACTGGCCGACTCCGACTTGCCAACCCTGGGCGGATTTTTTGGATCTGTAGAATAGTGGATTTCCGTGGCTTTGTTTTGTGTGGGGAATGTTGCACATGCACGGGATGGGTCAGGAATGGTCAGGATGTGACCATACTGTACCAGGCAAAGGCTGAACAGATCTGAACGGAGAGCATTGTTTGCAGCCTAGGTTGGCAGATGCCTTGGCGCCATCAGGTGCAGCTTGCTCTGCAGGTCAATGATCTCTGTCAAATTTCAGAAACAACATGTGGCCGCGTGGCCGACCGTCCAACCCCTGCCTATGTAGGCTCACTCCGGATTTGCTGCTTCACCATTTTGAAATTTGACAAAATGAGTTTATCTCATCTCATATATGAAGGGCTGAGTGTAAGCGGCATAGACATCAGGGCAGATCCAAAGGCATCTTCAACTCAAGCATACTCCAGTAAATCATGTTTGATAAAAGAAAATCTAAGGCTCTATCTCCGAAACCCTTAGCTACCGGCTAGTTATTTCCTATATTGGGGCTTCGACTCTTTTCATCCAGATCTAGAAATGAAACCGCCAGAGACCTGACAATCAAGGGCATCAAACATCCAAAGTTGAGCTTTCAGAGCCATGGCTGTGCGTTTGTCAACAAAGGCAGGAGTGGCAGCAGATGCAAAGCCCATGCTGGGCCCATGCTCAAAGTCCCAATCCTTTTTGCTAATCTTTTGTGATATTGGTTGGGAGTACTAAAACCAAAAGGAAATCACACTTGCTCCAGGTCCTGCATTCGACAAATCTCTGCTATTTGGGTCTCCAACCATGGCTTACTGGCTTTTTCGAACGCTGACAGATTTGGCATGGGACAGCACTTCTGGTCTTGCTGGTCAGTTGGCCGCATACAGTAGCCTGTTCACATCTGTTCACCCTAAAACATCCTAAAACCATTTCTTTGCAATCCTTTGCGCTGTGTAGCATGTGTAGCCCAGCTCTATCCAGAATGTCGTTGACAGGGTGGGACTTCCCCAGCACACACTCTTATACGTACATTTTATAAGATCTTATAAGTGCAAGCCTTGTCAAGTAGAAAAGGATGGAAGATGTTGAGGGCCTCCTGGCATCTCCGGGCATTTGTGACATTTGCTCAGAAGTAAGATTCGTCTCCAAGTCATTACTCAAAAGCAGCCGTGAGTTTTGCAGATCGCAGACCATTTCAGAACATGTCAGAGCTCCTGCATCAGCCTGCACCAGCCTGCATCAGCCTGCATTATTTCAATTTTGTTCGAGGTTTGTGACCGGACCTGGTGCGATCTTTGCAGAGGCATCGCCTTGCTACGCATGCTACGCTTGCCACGCGTCATGTCCAGCGTCAAACAGCCTGGCCCCATGGCAGGTGGCCCTAGACCATCGCACACAGCGAGGCTGGCAAGGTGCCGCAGCTGCGCTGTGTGAGATATCATGATGTCATCATTATACTGAGTACATCTGAGTACCATCTATCAGAATCGATCATGTGCCGGCAATTAATGTGCGCTATTGTGCGCTTATGTGTCATAAGTTCATCATATGTTCATCATATTTATCGTGTACATGTGTACCATTTTGTACCCATTTTGTACGCTACTGTATAGGCTGTCATGAAATGATGCAATGACTTCAGAATTTCTTGGGCAGGCGGGCGCCACCTGCAAAGCAGGACCCAACCTCAAATCTTCACATCCAGAGCTGACACTGAGAGTTTCCCATCGAAGATGTCGAAGATCTGACAGCGTTTCTGGCGAGGGCGGTCCTCGTCCAACGAATCCAGCTCGACGTCCCCGCAGAGGGTTGTGGCTTGGCTTTGGTTTCCTTGTACTGTAGCGGATGAGGTTGTAATATATGTCCTGTATATCTGTATGATATTTATGTATATAAATATACAATTATATACACTAAAGTAGTTACTACGGATATTTCAAAAACAAAAAACAATTCTCTCTCTCTCGCGCTCTGTATATATATATATCATATCTATTTCAATATATATATATACGTATATATATATATATACACCTCTTTTATATACATACATACATACATACATACATACATACATACATACATACATACATACATACATACATACATACATACATACATACATACATACATCATGCATACATACGTACATACATACATATATATATATATATCAGTATATATCAAGGTATTTTCAATGAGATGCTGTGATACTAGGCGATGCCATGATGCACAATGAGATACTGTACAGCTATTTACTGTATTCAAGTCGAAGTTTCACAGTTTAACGATTGCTTTGGTACAAGCAGGAACTGGAATGCCGAAGTTCTACAGCTCATGAGACAAGCATGGAACAACCAAAGGCCTACACAAATGACCCCCGGGCACGCAAACGAATTGATAGATATTTTATGACATCTTTGGGCCGAAAAAGATCCAGGAATAATAACAACAACTTTGAGATTTCAATTCTCTATGATTTTAATGTAATTTGCGCCTGTGGAGTGACCCGGAATGTCCCAGGCAGCCACCACTTCAGCTTGTGCGTCAAGCGGGGAAGCTCTGCTTGTGAGCAATAATATGGGAGGAGAGCTGTACTTCCCCGTCCCCGGAATTTCATCCAATTTCTTAGTTCCCCCAGCGCAAGGTAAGGATCTCTTTGTGGCTGATGCAAGTCGTATAGTAAACTATATATTAAACATATTAAACATATAAACTAACATCTTATTCTGCAAGAGTGTGCAAGAGGCGTGGAACGGCACCAAAGACCAGTTAATTACATTTATATATTACGGAATGATGCCAGCGATCTGATCACGAGACATGCAACCCTCGGAAGCTAGGTCCCTTTGCCCGGAGTGATAAAGACGATCTCCAATGGGCAGACCTTGGTGCAATTGCTGTGGCGAGTTAGAGGCTGGCAATTCGAGCGAATATCACTGCCACCTGCAGACACCACCCACACACACACATTGGACATATTTGGATATCGTATGATATCGTAACGTGCGCATCATCAAAGAATTCGCATCATCCCCGAGTTGTACCTACCTGACCTTCTTTTGTATGAGTGACTTGGGCGATGGATGGGCTCACAATTCCTTCCAGTGAACTTGGATGATTCCGTATCAGAAAGTTGCATGCCAGTAGTATCGCACAAGGCGGTGGCGGAAGTTTCAAAGATAGGAAGCTATAGGAGAAGTGAGTTGTTGTGATGCAAGGATGGCAGAGCGAATCCACTGATGGACCGAAAGGTGATTGGAGTTGTGTTTTTCGGAGTGGTTGCAATGGCTGCAGTGGTCACCTCACCGCAACTGCTGGATCTAGTGTGGTGCAGTGTAGTTGTAGTTGTAGTTGTAGTGTAGTGTAGTGGAGTTGTAGTTGCAGTGTGGTGTAGCGGAGTTGTAGTTGTAATGTAGTGTAATTAGTGTAGTGTAGTGTACTGTAGTGTTCTGTATTGTAGTGTGGTATAATGCAGTGTAGTGTAGTGTAACAGTGTAAACGAAGTAGCGTAGTTGTAGTTGTAGTGTGATTTGTGATCGTGTAGTCTAGTGTACTGTAGTGGCAGTTGTAGTTGTAGTTGTAGTTGTCTATCTATCTATTTGTCTATCTGCAAGCTTGCGAACGAAGCCATTCTGGGAGACATCCTGAGTTTTTGAACTTGACAACATCAAAAACGAAGCAATTCTGCGAGACTTCCTCAACTTTTGAACTTGATAACGTCAAAAACCAGCGATTCTGCCAGACTTCCTCATTTTTTGAAGTTGGCAACATCAAAAACGAAGCAATTCTGCGAGACTTCCCTTAAAATGGAAAGTTGAGTGCAGAGCCGACGGCCTCGTGCCAATGCGTTTTGCGATTTTTCCAGCCCATGTCTCTAAAGTATTTCGCCTGCCGGGAAAAAGTGAAGCCAGGTGATACGAAGTGCTGCACCTGTCGCACAAAACCATCTTCCCACAACAAAAAAATCTGATGCTCCAAAACGCAACCTCTCTCAGGAAATCAGCGCCCGAACCTCCTAACATCTCTGATGAACATGTCTCCTGTACTGCGCCGGCCATGGAAAATGCATCTTTGCAGATCCTCTTCAAATGCCCCACGCCTGCCAACGCTTTTGAAACTGTGACAAAACCGTCACGTTTTGCTCATCTTTGACGAGGTGCACAATCCCTTGCGCCTGCCACGCGAAACGACATCTGAACGTCCAAAAGTGGTCTGAACATGTGGTGTGCTTTGCACCTTTTGACTTCGAAACGTGCTTCGCGCCACAGCGGCGTGCATGTTTTCGACATCTCAACTTCCAAAAGTGGTCCGACGTTGGTGTGTTTTGTACGTTTTGACTTCGAAATGTGCTTCGCGCCAAAACGGCGTGCAGTTTTTCATCTCTCATCTGGCCAGATGGCGCTTTAGCGACCCTACTTTTCGACCCCCCTGAGCCACAAATATCCACAAATCATTGGAAAAACACAGTGTTTCGCGATTTTTCCACTTTTTCGCGCGCCTGCATCTTCTTTCCCTTGACTCTTTCTCTTCTCTGATCTTCTTTCCTCTGACTCTTTCTCTTCTCTTCTCTTCTCTTCCCTTCCCTTCCTCTTCTCTTCTCTTCCTCTTCTCTTCTCTTCGCTTCTCTTCTCTGACCCTTCCCACCTCTGCTTTTCCATCTGTCCATGTTGCCGGAAGTTTGACTTCTAAACTTCTTTCGGCAAAATGCATCCAAATGGTGGCCTTTTTCTAAGACGACCCATGCCTGTACTTGACAATCCGTTCGTAGTCAACACATTTAAAGAATTTTAAAGACACATACGCATGCCCCCCTGTCTAGTGGCAAATGATGTAGGGCAAACTGCACCTACAACAAGAGACTGGGTGTTTGGCAGTTGGCTCAAAAACTTCCCTGGATCAGTGACACTGCCTGGGCCAATGGGCAGCACATCAACAAACAAGGAGATGAGAGACTGGCTGGAGGAAACGAGACATTTTCTTCCAGAATCTTCAAACATTACCCGGGTGATCACTGCCTTGTCCCTGGAACCTGCTCGACGTCGCTATTGGATCCATCGACAAACACCATCTTCAGAGACACGAAACGATACGAGGAATGATGTCACAGGGGCCAAGCATCGGGAGTGAGCCGGCAGTAGTAGCGTTGGCCAAGGGACCAAAGAGGGGAAACAATCTTGAGGCAGTCGTGCTAATTATTATTGAAATGTCAAAAATCAAAAATGACTGAAACAAAGAACTTACGCAGCCCCTGTTCACAGGAAGGATCCGTGTTAAAAAACAAACTTATCGTTTCCCGTTGCCGTGGGTCCTGCCCAAGTCGTGGCCCGTCTTTTCCGCCTGTCTACAGAAGGTTGCCCCCATGTCAGGCAACCTTGGCACTTCAAGCTTGTGCGAAGGCCAGCGTCCCAAGTCCCTTTCGGGACCCAGGTCCCTTTCAGGACCACCGCAGATGCGGAAGGGTGGCTGCACTTCCACAAGCGTGGAAAGAACATACAGACCATACAGTACAGATTGATTCATATTGGGCCTATTGGGTTAAATTTGGGTTCCAAAGTCCAAAGGCCGTCCCAACGAGCTATAGCGCTCAACAAGTTGCTGTGCAGATCGGGATGTCTTTCAGCTAATGTCGCTACATTCCTGGCAAGAGAAAAGGTTGTGGGGAGGTGTGCGGCCACGAGGTCAAGAGGGACGACACCCATCAATTCTAAGCAATCCAATTGACAGAGATGCTGCTGGGACCAGCTTTGTCCGCTGCACTTCATTGGCAAGGGCACTTTTTATATCCTTTTTTCCAAGAATAAATTATATAGGTATTACTGGTATCACTGTGTCACTCGTGGTCGTTTGCGTTGGCGGCCTGGTGATTCCTGTTTCTAGGCAGCCAATCCGCATGTCCAAATCAGTTTGGGATGTCTGGGGCTACTCGTACCAGCCATACTAGACTTGCAGTCGTGATGCAGCTGGGCTTATTTTAAGATCCCATACCACATGCCAAGATATTAACTATGTTCAATCCGATTGCAGCCCCAATCTGTGACGCTGCGATCCAACTGTTTTGCAGCATGGTGGAGCATTCCTACATCCAAGATATTCCAAGATCATCCTAGTAAACTGCCACAACTGGGCACATCTCGCACATCTCGCACTTTTATTCTTTTGTATCTTTCGCCAGGTGCGCAGCAGCTCTCACCGTTTACGGGCATTCTGCTGCAGGCCTTCTGTCCTCAATTCAGAATTTCCCAGCAACAGATGACAGATGCAACAGCATGTTATTAAATATTAATTTTTAAATATATTTTTTTAATGTAGAAGTTTGATGATGACTCGCTTGCAGGCACCAAGAGCTTCAAGGCTTCTTGTCGGCCTCGGCTGCAACCAGATACTTCCTACAACGAATTGCTTGCTGTCACAAAAGCCGTTTCTCCGGAGTCATAACAACTCATATCATTGTGCATATTTGTGCATTATCCGCTTGTCCAGAGACATCCGACCCTGGCGACAATTCTTACTCGATCATAATCTAACTAACCATCTCCAACATTGGTGCCAGGCTCCAGGAGGGAAGTGAGGTGTGGGTGCATGTGCTGCCGATAGCATCCCTGCCGCGCTTGAAATGGTTACTTCATGTTAGTGCCGTTTGATTCGTATAGTTATTATTGATATCTATAATATATATAGTAATAATGAAAATAAAAGATAGAAATAAGACTGGCCTCAACAAACGTAATCCTTAATCCTAAGATCCTAAGCCAGATTGCTGATTACCAAATTTTCGGATTATGTGGTTTGGACGGATTACGGATTGAAAGCTACAACCCCCGCAAAGGATGATGACCGGCATGCTGATTTGAGGAAGTTTACCTTGGGTTTCGTTTGTGAGTGTGGTGTTTGGTTTCGTTTAAATAATATTACAGTATTATTGATTAATAAGAATAGTAATGACAATCCTCCTTCAGTACCACAAAAAAGAAAAAAGGGCTCGACCCCCTGGGAGAGGTCCACAAAAAGTTGTTTATTTATGTTTTTTTTGGGGGAAAATAAAATGGGGTTGGGTTTGTAGTAGTAGTACTAGTACTAGTACTAGTACTCGTACTAGTAGTAGTAGTAGTAGTAGTAGTAGCAGTAGGAGTAGTAGTAGTAGTAGTGTAGTAGTAACAATAGTAATAATAATCAGAGTAGTAGTCAGCGAAAAAATATTGTAAATTACAGCATTTTTGGCGGGTTGATCGCCAAAAATGCTACTATTTACACGGTTTTTGCAATTTCAAGAAAACCTGGAAGGCACGAAACACTGTAATAGCGGTGTTTTGGCCACTTGTGGACGCTGAAACGCTGGTATTTACGTTTTTTTTGGCCCGTGACGGCGCCAAACCCTGGTAACTCAGCATTTTTTGCACTTTGTGAACCGTTTTTTTTTTTTCCTTGAACGCAAAAAAACGCTGGTATTTAAGCGTTTTTCAAAAAATCGAAGATCGTGACGTGAACGAAACCCTGTAAATAACACTGTTTTAGCAACTTTCGATGACTAAAACTGTAGTATTTACGCGGGTTCTTGCCACCTGACAGCGCAAAATGCTGTAAATTACAGCGCTTTGTGCGCTGTTTATGTTCAATGTTTAAACGTGCGATGCTTTCACATGTTCTTTGCATTCTTCCACAAGGAACAACATTGCAGATTGAAACTGGACCACAGCGTGACCCGACGCACAGACGCTTTTACACACACACAGGGGCTTTTACGCAGAGAAGTCTTTACACAAAGGAGCTTTTACATACAGAAGGTTTTACGCAGAGAAGTCTTTACTCTAAGGGGTTTTTGTGCACAAACGGCTAGGAGCCTTTACACACAGAAGTTTTTACATGAAGAAGTCTTTACTGTATACACAGAAGGCTTTTTACACACAGACGCGTTTGCACACAGAAGCTTTTACACAGAGAAACCTTTAGAGTTTTTACACACAAAAGCGTTTACACACACACACAGGGGCTTTTACACAGAGAAGCCTTTACACAGAGGATTTTTTTACACACAGAAGGTTTTACACAGAGAAGCCTTTACTCTAAGGAGTGTTTGCGCACAAACGGCTTGGAACTTTTTAACACAGAAGCTGTTACGCAGAGAAGTCTTTACACAGAGAGCTTTAACACACAGATGCGTTTACACACAGAAACTTTTACACAGAGAAGCCTTTACACAGAGAACTCTTACACACGGAAACTTTTACACACAGAGAAATCTTTACACAAACGCGCTTTCACACAGAGAAACTTTCATACACAGAAGGAAGCTTTTACACAAAGAAATCTTTACACAGAGAACCTTTTACACAGAAACTTTTACACACAAAAACTTTTACACAGAAAGTCTTGGCACAGAGGCGCCCTTACACGAAGTAACAAGTTGAAATTGGCAGCAGTTCGTTAGGAAAAACTCTTCGCAGGAGCTTTTGAAAACTCAATTGCTCACCAAAAAATCACCAATTTCCAACAAATATGTTCCAAACAACCTAAGGAATATATTTCTGAAGCAGGTCCTCATTCAATAGCTTTCAAGCCCACACTGCGATGAAATGGAGAGTCGAGTAATCCGGCGGAGCCGACGCTGAGCGTCAGCTCAAAAATACCACTACAATACACCACAACTACAGCTTTAACTACAACTGCAACCCCACTACACTACACGCCACTTCACCACACTACACTGCCACTACACCACACTACAACCACAACTGCAACAACTACACCAACAACAATTACTACTACAACTGCTAGAGCCACAGCTATAACTACAGCACTGCAATTACAACAACATCAACCACAGCTGCAGCTTCAACTGCGCTACAATACAACTGCAACTACAACTACAGCTGCAACTCCACTACACTACACTACTCTCCACTTCACCACACTTCACCACCACTACTCTACCACTGCAGCTACAACTGCAACTGCAAGTATAACTACAACGACTATGACAGCTACAGCTACAACTCCAACATTACAACTACAACTACATCAAATACAGCTACAACTACATTACACCACGCTGCATCCAGCAGTTGTGGTTGAGGTGACCACTGCAACCATTCCAAAAAACACAACTCCAACCACCTTTCGGTCCATCAATGGATTCGCTTTGCCATCCAGGCGTCGCAACAACTCACCTCCTCCTATCGCGTCCTATCTTTGAAACTTCCGCAACCGCCTTGCGCGGTACTATTGGTCATGGTAATAGTAATAGTAATAGTAATGGTAATGGTAATGGTAATAGTAATAGTAATAGTAATAATAATAGTAATATAGTAGCAACAATCGTAATATATTCTTTGTCGGCATAATACATACAGAAAAATATGATGCCCTAGGCACCAATGATTTGTTATTCAAGTTCCAATTTCTGAAAAAACTGACGGAATAGAAAGGATACCAACAGATTTACAGACGCCCAAGTATGTTGCCAGGGAGATCGCCTGACCTTGCGGCTTGTGGGAGACGATGCACCTCCAGGTGGGAAGGGGTCGGGGTGTCGCAGCTATAGGGGGGTCGGGGTGTCGCAGCTATAGGATGATCACTGTGATGCGGATGCTGGGGCTTGGCAGGTGCTGGGATGCTTAATGACCAGAGTTCACAGCTATACCCAGCTAAAGGTGTTCACAAACACGTCGTTGTGCGTACACACCTTGCAAATCCTAGGTCGCAGGTCAAAGGCAGTGTTGTGAAGACCTTCACACTTTCGACTGTTACGATCACTTTCCTATCTGAAATCAGAACACATTTCTCATGCAGGGATAGCATGGATACTTAGAAACCTGTTCAAACAGCCTAACACAAACAACAACATTTCAAACACCTACTAGGCCAAGAAGACGGACAGCAGATGAGTTGGGAAATTGGCTTGCCTTGAGGACAGTCAGCATTTTTCCGTCAAGTGTCAGCTACTGAGGAGGAAATTTGTTCAGGATACTTTAGAGATGCATAGAGTGATCGGTCATATCACACAAAGACGTACAAAGACTGGGTCTAGCAGGTACGTTCTTGCTCATTCGCAACCGTGGTCATTTCACGCCGCAAATGCATGGGCCCTGACGGCCCTGACGGCCCTGATGTTCAATGCTTGTGCTGATGAGGTCCGGCCCAAAGAAGGCAGGGGCAGCCGACAAATCCCAAGTCGAATGGTCTCCAAAGCAGGGGCTGAAAGATTCTCTGAGTCTTGGCTGATCAAGCCAGCGATTTGTCGCATGTCCCACGGTTTCCCACCACATTGTTTTTTTCACCACGTGTCTTACTTTGTCTCTCAGAAAGGAGTGGATGCAGACATGCAATGAAATCATATATGATTGATTGCACATGATTTAAGTTAAGTTTTCAATAGATTTCATGGATTTATCAGTTGTAGTTATTGTAGTTTTGATTCACTTGTTTGCCAAAAGATGATCGCCTGCACACGGACATGAATCCATGTTCTCCCTCTTGTTTGCACATGTTTTGGTCGGAACCACCGCCCAATTCATCCAAAGGAACTGGATGGATGCCGAACCTCTTCCACACTGTTTGAAGGGTGCGGCAGTTCTTTGGCATCCATTGGTTTTGGTCAGATTATGTCAGATTTGAGATCTCACCGGCTGTGTCTGTGAAAATTGAGGCTCCGCATTTGCAGGGCAAAGTGACACGAGTGGATCCTTCTATGGCCATAGTAAGGCTGTTTTGGGAGGCACCTCCAGGCCAGAGAGCAGCGGCTTCATCTAGGTGATTTATGGATATTTATGGTGATTTGATGAATTTGATTGATGATATTTGATGATATTTGTGGATTCGATTGTGAGTCCGCAGATATGAAAAGCGGGGAGATATTCGACAGAGAAGCCCTGAAAGGTCTGTCAGATCCGGAGCTCTCTCCTATCGCAGCTGCACTTCCAGTAGAGGCGGCCCATTTGGACAACATTTTTTTATTACGGTGGACTTTAATCTCTTTCCTTATTTGCTCTTCACATATCTTGACTCCACAGCTTCAGGCCCTCCAAAAGTTCTTCGCCCTCACCACTGTACCATTGTGCTTTGGCAGCCATTCAGACTGTAGAATGCCATGCGGATTTCGCACAGTCAGTCTGGTGTCGGAAGACTTTCCAATAAATTGAATTAAATTATATAAATTGCTCAATTACACACTGCAGCTGCAGGAATGCTGCAGGAATGCTGCAGGAATGCTGCAGGATGGTAGTTTGTGATCAACGGACTACGTACAGTCATAGCGTCAAGGTCTGTTTGTGTGAGCATGGCCATTGCCAGTCGCCTCTGCATGAGAGCAGCACCACTTGCAGTCATTGCCAATCACAATTTTGAATAATTATGAGATTTATGAGATACCTTTATAGGATCGTGAATAATGATTGAACTTAGGTGCAGTGACTACTTGCAGGAGGGACAGTTGGTCAGCGTCCAACTTCAAGACCCGGATGACAGTGAAGACGCTATGACTACGTTCAGTGGCATTTTGGGACTTCATATTCGCTTTGGTCTCAAGGGTGCTTGTACGATCTTGTACGTTTGTAGGCGGTGCAGTCGGGCAGCTTGGTACTCTAAATATGAACCTGTTAACGTGGCATAAGAATTTCGATATATAATATTTATGAATGCAAGTAGTTCTGGACATTGGATCTACTGATGTTCTCATGTTTTTCTGCATTCTGAAATTCTCCACCACAAGCTGCGGGCTCTGGTGTGGCAGCGTTACCAACGATTTTGAGAGTATTCGAGACTATTCATGAAATCTTACTAGGATTTAGCTACATTCCTGTGTTTGGGTTATAGAGTCCAAGGCAGTTACGGGTCGGATGGTCAAATCATGGTGTCAGTGAGAGTATGTGCAGTTACATTAGATAATCGCAGAACATCCAACCGTTTAATGAAAAACCAACTGCAGCTCGATCAAGGATTTGACGGTGAGCCTATCTCCGCTGCAGCCAATGCCACCAAGACCGCCTCCACCATGTGCAGGATGGCAGTGTTGATCAGCTGGCGTCAGCTTGCCACTTTTCTTTATACGTTTTTCATGTTTTTTCCATGTTGGTCCAGTTTCACCTCAACATCAACAACACAATAGCCAGGAGTTTCTGAATGAACTTTCGGAGATAAAATGGTTGAAGCATCTTACCTTACACTCCTCGAAGCGGATCGTGATAAGATCAGCAGAATCTGTGCATTGCATGGCACCCCTCGCTGTTCCCTCCCGAAGGTGCGGCAGTGTCAATGGCTTGGCAGCCCCTCTGTGGCTCCAACGCTCCTTGCCGTGTCATCGATGCGACAGAGGCAGCGTGGCGAAGGACCCCTGTGTCAGCCTCAGTTTGAGCATGTTTAAGCTGCTGCTTGCTGCCGGGTGTTGAAGGTGTTTGAAGAAATGTTTTTGAGACCCGTGCCATTCAAGCATTTTTTGAGAGGGATTTATGATTTATCTATAAATTTATCCAACACTTCGCCACGATGTAACTAACCGTACAATAGAACGTATTGCTGAGGCTCTCCACATTGGCTACTGCTCACATGTGCCGGTTCAGTGAAGCCAAGTGCAAAGGTGTCCTTTCTAATGATTGGAATCTGTTAGAACATGTATTCGCTGCAAACCCGCCGATCCCACATATTCGTTTGATATGTTCAAACCTACGCTAGCGTTTTTGTTGCTTCCCAACACGCCACAACCAAAAAAAAAAAGCCTATAGAGCCCTAAAACCCTAAATACTGAAAACCTAAAGTCAAATTCACTCCGCATAGCCAGTGTTTTTCTTCATCCTTTGGTGACTATTGTTTGGGTGTGTTTTTTGCAGGCACGGTTTGGTGCGAACGTATAGTAAAACTTGTACGTCGGGTGTAGAATTTTCGGAAAGAATCCGTCCAGTGTATAAGCCACGGCAACATCCAGCAATCCAGAATCAATACTCATTTGATTGATGCTTCCTCGATTTTTACCATACTTCCGCGTAGCTTTCACGAGAGCAAACCGATGTGACTTTTTGTGGGAGTCTTGCAGGTGGAACCTCGTTCTTCACGTTCTGGATTGAATGATTGAACACAGATCTCAGAGGGCAAGCAAGACACTTCAACTAACACTAACTAACTATTTGCAACTGAAGTTGCTCAAGTGCCAAATCGCAGAATTTCAGAGCTGGCACTGGCACTGTGTTGACTCCAGGGGGATGCCACGTCAGCCATGGAGGAGTTGCTTGGCTAAAGCATCAAAACTCCAATTTCATTGCGCATTAGTTTTAGAGAGAGGAAGGTTGCAAGATTCCATGCGTTTCTTGTGCTTTTGTTGACCGTTGACCATAGTCCCAGGATGTCCCAGGATGTTCCAGGGATGGTTTGACGTTGAGCGGTTTGCTGCTTCAGCCTCCGCACCAGTAAGCGCTTCATGTGAAGAGTGGTATAGGTCCTAATGTGAATGCATACCAACTTGTGGTGACTAGAAAAATCTGATCGCATAGACAGGAAGCAGGGGCTACCCAGCCATCAACGAAGTGCACGAAGTCATAGGAAGTGCCATTGAAAGGTGCAAAGTGCATTGGTGCATTATCTGCATTTTGCCATATTTTGCCTATCCCATCCTATCCCTGTGCTGAAAGGTTTGGATTTTCTGAGCTGTGGAAGCTGAAGACCACCAACACTCTTGCCACTTTAGCTTTTGCAGTGTGTCTGAGCTTGAAACGGCAGAAACGGTTTGCATTTTCAAACATTTTCGCTTTGTGGGTGTGGGTCTGTAGAACATTTGAAATTGAGGATGTTTGCGGCCTTTTGCGGCTGGTGCCTTTTTAAATTTCCGTGGTTGTTTGTGAGATGTTTTTGCAAACGCGGTCGCAACATGTCTCGGTCATGGAATCCAGCTGAGCAGAGGCGACGTTTGTTGCATGTTTGACCCAAGGAGTGAGACGAAACAGGATGTGGTCATCACAGGGGCTATTCCGAGGGTGCCGCATTGGGAGCCGCTAAGTTTCTGCCAGCACACGTGGAGTTGAACGTGTTGGCAGAAAGTCGTGCAGTGTTTCCTAAGTTGTTTGAGGCACCACCCACCCACCCACACACACACACACAGGCACGCAGTACTGTACATACCCGTACGTAGTTCCATGATCATCCTACATTCTACCACTCAGAATCATTTTACAATAATGATTATAGAATTATAGTCAATAATTATAGTCTAGTAATAGTCTAGTATGCTTTACTTTTACTATGTGTATATATGTATCGTTGGATTGGCTTAAGGGAGGATCTGCAGGAAACCATCGATTTTCCCATAAAATATGGGGGTTTCCTGCAATGTTTCCCTTAAACATATATAATAATAATAATAATAATAATTAATAATTAATAATAATAACAATGATAATAATAACAATAACAATAATAATAATCATAATAATAATCATAATCATAATCATTTTGATTATTATTGTTATTATATATATATATACCACATATATAAAAAGTTATATATTGAATACGCGTGGTATCCCTTAGCCATTGATCATGGGAGGTCGAGCGCATGGCGCTGCTGGCGTTGCTCGTTGCGCAGCACCTGGTGGAGGCTGCGCCACAGGAGCTGGTGCTGCTGCTGGCACCCTATGGAGATGTTAGGTGCTGCAGGGGCTCATGGTTCTGCTAGCATAATATTAACATTATTATATTATATAATATCACATATATATATATATCCCATATATATATACATTATATATACATGTATAGGTATATATAATATAAATCACGCATAACATGAAATAATTTGTTATATATTGCTGCACGCTGATGGTGCAGCAGCACAACCAGTGCTACATTTGCAATTTCCCTTTAGATGATCAAAATAGAGAGTTATAGCTCAACTGTGGCCATGACATGATGAACCTGCAAGAGGATGGATGGGCAACAAGTCATGGGCTTTTGTTCAGATCCCCGTCCTTGTGCACCCACTAACATTGCAAGATCATTGCAAGAGTAGTATCAGGTCCCATCTCTCACACCGTGGGGAATCTTGACGGTCAGGCTGCAAAGCCTAGAACAATCTGGAAAAGATGAGGGATTGAGAAAGCACCTTGCAAAAGTCAGGGCGCAGATCCTTGGCTTTTGGATGGACCACAGTTTCCGAACACATTCCAAGCTGGAAAGCGAGATAGAGCGAGCAAAAAGTATGGTGCTGCGAGGTGAGACAGATTGACAGAATGTTGGACCATGTTTTCTTGATATTGTTTGTGCAGTGCTTGCATGTCGGCACACACGCAGGAGAAAAAGTGCACCATCCGGCAGCGTACTTGTATTGCTTCATATTGCTTCATATTGCTTCCAAATTTCCAAGTTCAGGCCATGCCAGCATCAGCTAAGGACGCTTGCAGGCTCACCACATGAAGTTCTGCAAAAGCTCCTGTTTCGTGGCTTCAGTACAGTAGTAAAAGCTAGAAAGGCTTGACACTCAAGAGACGAATGATAGAGAGCGATATAGAGATATGTAATTACACATGCGCTATATATATATATATATGTATGAAGTAGGAATGACCAAACCTTTTTGGTCCAGCTATGCAATCCCAGTTTCTAACATCCCTTCATGTCATGTTAGAATGTAATTAATGTGAAGCCCACACTGAGGCGACCAGGACAGAGAGATGCAAGAACAGTCTCCCTAGTCGTGGTGGAGGGCCTGTGATTTGGCAAAAACCAGTGTGCTTTTTTACTCCAAGACAGCGATCCTGCCACCTCCTTTTTGCAGAAGGGGAATGTCGCATCAGTTACACAGCCGTGAGAGGCATTTCAGAGTTCGTATTGCTTTTCCTTTGGCCATAGGTGAGAGGTCTATCTTTTCAGTCTTTGTTTCAGGCCCACTGATGCAACAGAGAAAAGGGCCCTGAAGAAACTGCTGTCGCTTCTCCCAAGTCAAAGATACTTGCCTGCAGATCTTCTCGGATCCCAGCCAAAAAAAGGCAGCTCATGGATGCTGACTCATCATGACCTGCCAAGTCTCTTTCTTCTTGGAGTCCTGAGGACGCTGGGGTCCCACCATCCTGTGGCACCGTGAGCCCCTGACCGGTGAGCTGCAAGTGATGGAGGCTGCCTTGACAGCTTCACCTGCTCGTTTGTAACTTGGCAGGCAATGTCAAGCCACGGGACTCTGCGTACACTTTCCAAAGATATCAATGCATGGCATTCATTCATCAATTTCTTCGGAACTTCCTATGGCCTTGTGCCAGTAGCTTTGGAGTGTCGTCCTTCAAAGATCCTCACGCATGCTTCTGCAAGACGGCACTGACTCACTCTCCTACAGCAGATTCCGTCTATGACTTGTCTTGCATTCAATTCAATCCTATATGTTGTGACATGTTGTGACCATAATCCCGAGCATTGCTTCCTCTTCACTTGTTCATTTTTCCGCCACGACCTTGGATTGAGGATTTTTTTTGTGAAAGCAGTTTCGGTTTCCATCCGGCTGCGCCCATGGTGCAATTTGCTGTCCTGGTGAAAGCAAGTTGTAGGAGACTCCCGTGTTTCTCTGAGGAAGATCTCCAATGCTCTTCATGGAGCCACCTAGCTTTGGAGCTGGTGCAGCGGGTTGAAATGATTGAAGATAGGATATATATATATGGAGATATTAGAATATTGACGGGATATTATTCTGGAATATTTCAATATTTGGGAATCTTATGGATCTTTTAAAATCTTAGGGAGCCTCATGGATATTGAGACTACCAGTAGTACCGCACAAGGCGGTGGTAGGAAACTTAGGAGGTTTGTTGTTGTGATGCGTGGATGTCAGAGCGAACCCACTGACGGACCAAAAGGTCGTTGAGGCTCTGAGTCTCTCTCTCTCTCTATTTGTCTATTTGTCTATTTCACTTTCTAACTAATCTATCTATCTATCTATCTATCTATCTATCAAAAAATCTATCTATCGGCGTATCTATCTATCTATCTGTCTATCTACCTACCTATCTATCTATCTATCTATCCATCGATCTATCTATCTATCTAACTATCTATCTAATCTAATCTAATCTAATCTTATCTCATCTCATCTCATCTCATCTATCTATCTACTATATCTATCTAATCTAATCTAATCTAATCTAATCTAATCTAATCTAATCTATCTATCTATCTATCTATCTATTCTCCCTCTCTCTCTTTCATCTGTCTATCTATCTAGCTGTCTACCTGTCTATCCATCCATCCATCTATCCATCTATCGACCTATCAATCTATGGATCTATGGAATTCTATGGATCTATAGGTCTGTGGATCTATCGATCTATCGATCTATCAATCCATTTGTCTATCTATCTATCTTCCTAAACTTCCTATCTATCTGAAACGAAGCAATTCCGCGAGACTTCCTTAAAGAATGGATGTGCACAGCTCCAAAACGAAGCAAAAATGAAAGTTCGCAGCTCCAAAACGATGAAATTTTTCAACTTGACAACATCAAGAACGAAGCAATTCTGTGAGACTTCCTCCAAAAATGGAAAGCTGAGTGCAGACCTGACAGCCTTGTGCCACTTCGTTTTGCATTTTTTTCCATCCCATGTCTCTAAAGTATTGCGACTGCCACGAAAAAGTGATGCCAAGTCATACGAAGTGCTGCACCTGTCACGCAAAATCATCCCAGCAAACCTGAAGATCTGATGCTCCAAAATGCAACCCCTCTCAGGAAATCAGCGCCTTGACCTCCTGACATGTCTACTGGAGATGTCTCTAGTACTGCCTGCCACGCGAAATGCACCTTTGCAAATCCTCTTCAAACATCTTCAAACGTCCCATGCCTCATCGTTTTTTGAAACTGTTCTGTACAAAACCTACACGTTTTGTGCATTTTTGGCAAGGTGCAGAACGCATTGCGCCTGGAAAAAACGATGCGATGTCCAAAAATGGTGCGAACATGGCGTGTCTTTACCATGTTGCCTTCAAAATGTGCTTTGCGACACAATGGCGTTCACTTTTTCATACTTTTTCAACATCTCAACTTCCAAAAGTGCTCCGAACATGCAATGTGGTGTTTTTAGTTTTTTTAGCATTTTGACTTCCAGATTAAATTGTGCTTCGTGCCACAACGGCGTGCACTTTTTCAACAGCTCAACTGCCAAAAGTGCTCCGACACTGCGGTGCTTTTAGCATTTTGACTTCGAAATGTGATTCGCGTCACAGCCGTGTGCATTACATACACATCTCAACTTCCAAACGTGATCCGAGACCGAGGTGTTTTCAGCATTTTGACTTCGAAACGCGCTTCGCGCCACAGCTGCGTGCAATTTTTGACATTTCATCCCGCCAGATGGCTTCGCGCCCGCCGCTTTACCGTTCCTTACTTTTCAATTCTCTGCAGCATTGGAAGAACAGAGGGTTTTGCGATTTTGCTACCTTTTCACGCTCTTTGATCTTCTTTGTTGCGATTCTTTCTTCTCTGACTCTCTCCTCTGTCTCTTTCTCTGACTGCTCTTACCACTGTTGCTGCATTTGTCCATAAGTCGGAACTTCCGTCGATGAGACGCGGGGATGTATAGTGGCTTCTGGCCTGTTACCTTGGTTTTCCTCCCAGAAGCCTGCTGAGTTGTTTCGTCTCAACACCTACGCTTTTCCCTTTTTTGCTGCAATTGTCAGCAGCTGCGGCGTGCGGATTGCACCGTAATCCTTATTTTCCTTGCTGTTGGCGCGTGCAATCGCACTTGTATCGCCAGGTGTTTCTTTTTGAATTTCATCGTTTCACAAGTTGATGGCGGACCTCCTTAGTCTATGTATATCTATGTGTTGAAACCATTGGGATACGTTGGTTGGAAATTAGACCAACTGACCCCAACTCTGGGATCTGAGGCTCAAGAGCAAGTGAAGCTGGTGCCTGAAAGCCTCGCAGCTGCAGCAAAACTGGTAGCGCAGCGCTTGGCACGGAGGCCCTGCGAAGTTGCAGCCAAATTGTAGGTGAATCTCAGAAGGTGAACAAAAATGACAAGATATGATAAGATCTGATAAGATATGATAAGATTGGATAAGATATAAGAAAGAGAACGCATACAAAATATAGATTTATAACATATTAAACTATAAATTACTTTACTTCGAGTAATCCCCACCATGACATTTATACGTTTTGTTACTGGCAAATCTTCTGGCATTCTATCTGGCATATCTTCTGGCATATCTTCTGACATTCTATCTGACATTCTATCTGGCATTCTATCTGGCATTCTATCTGGCAAATCTTCTGGCATTCTATCTGGCAAACATTCTGGCACTTGATCTGGCATACCTTCTGGCATTCTATCTGACATTCTATGTGGCATACCTTCTGGCATTCTATCTGGCATATCTTCTGGCATTTTATCTGGCATATCTTGTGGCATTCTATCTGGCATATCTTTTGGCATTCTATCTGAGATGCTATCTGGCGTTCTATCTGGCATGGTGCGAAGCACACTTGGAAGTCAAAATGTAGAAATCCTCAGCTCCGGATCACTTTTGGAAGTTGAGATGTCGAAAAAGTGCTTTGCGTTGTGGCGCGAAGCACATTTGGAAGTGAACATGTTAAAAACACGAGGGGTTCGGACCACTTTTGGACGTCCAGATGTCGTCCTGATGTCGAAAAAGTGCACGCCGTTGTTGCGCGAAGCACATTTCCAAGTCAAAAGTGTTAAAAACAGGGTTTTGAGCCATTTTCGACGTTCAGATGTCGTTTGGTTGACAGATAGATGGATATAGAAATAGATAGCTAGATGGATGGATGGATAGATAGATAGATAGATAGATTGATAGATAGATAGGTAGATCAGTTCGTTAAGTTAGTGAAGTTAGATCAGCTAGTTCAGTAAGTTAAGTTAGTTAAGTTGGTTAAGTTCGTTCAGTAGTTAAGTTTGTTTAGTTAGTTCAGCTAGTTAAGTTAGTTAAGTTGGTTCAGTTAGTTTAGTTAGTTGAGTGAGTTCAGTGAGTTCAGTTAGTTCAGTTCGTTTATTTATTTATTTATTTAGTTAGTTAGTTAGTTAGTTACTCAGAAAGTTATTCAGTTAGTTAGTTACTCAGAAAGTTATTCAGTTGTTCAGTTATTCATTTAGTTAGTTAGTTACTTAGTTAGTCACTTAGTTACTTAGTTTGTTAGTTAGTGAGTTAGACAGGCAAATAGATAGAGAGATAGCTTGAAGCTCCAACCACTTGTCGGTCCATCACTGGACTCGCTCTGCCAGTTTTGCTTCCCAACATCCAACCTCTCCTATAGGTTTCCTCCTTTGAAACTTCCGCCACCGCCTTGTGCGGTACTACTGGGATATGTGGGACAAGTACGCAAAGGATAACGTTCATCGTGATGTGCGTCAGCATAGACGCCGTTGCGCCCAGGTACCTGCGCCTGCGGCTGCATCTGTATCGAATTCTCCTTGGAGTCGTGTGAAAGGGAAGGAACGATTTGAATGTTTAAGGACACTGTATCCAAAGTGAGAAGTCGATCAAATGACGTCAGAAGTATCCATGCTCGTTCTGACTGCACATCTCTCTCAATCTGTCTTATTATGTCTCTTCCTTTCTGTCTGTAAATGTTGTTTGCAGAAGTGAACTGTCTGTGGTATTGGTTTCGAAGATGGCCTGTTCGAACTGAGATAGATGTTGCAGAGTCAATGGCCTAGCTGAACGTGTGGTAAAGGCACGGCAACCTGTTGCAAGTATAGCTCAAGGCTGCATGGCCAGGCATACGTCTGCCGAATGGAAGGGTGGAAAGTTGGAGTGGTAAGCGTGAAATATTCTTGGGCCGGAGCTGGGAAGGAGTATGGCAAGCTTGGAAGGAGTATGGAAAGCGACTTGCGGTGCGTTTTCTGTGCCGTGTCTGTGTAGACAGTGCCGGAAGTTGGCGTAAGAATATGTCATGTCCGTGTGCTGGATGTGGCATGGGAAGCAAACAACATTGTTTAGTTATCTCAGTTTTCTGTCTTAGGAAAAGTTAGATAGATACATCGTAAGGATGCAGTGAGGATTGGTAGTTTCTGAGCTGACATGCATGCTACACTTCGACTCACACAGGTATCCTGTTGTTTGTGCATGGGCTGGTGCGCAATTTTCTTGTCAGTTGCTGGTTGCATGAGTATAACAGCAAGATGTGGAGACACAGAGACCCGGTCCATGTGGAAAGCATTTGTAAGGCATTTCTGCCTTAGGCAGGGTGACAGCAGTACAAGTAACGGGAGGAGCTGCACAAAAGCCGGTCAGTTCAGCTTTGAGGTGTCCAATGTAACAGATATGGAAGAAAATCGAAACCATGATGCGTCACCCTGTCAACGCCATGGGTGACTCGCTGGTGTCTAGCGAACTGGTTTTTTCAGTTGCATGCATCTTACTATTGCGTGTGGCTGGTGTGCCTGCTCCGGAAGAACTGACCTGTTCTCGGACGTGCGACGCCTTCGCGTTGGACTACGTACTTCAGGTGCTTTGGCTGCATGTTATTGTTTGTCGTGGGGCTGCATACATGCGGTCGACCGGTTGACTGTAGGCTGTCCCAAGCAGGTATCATCAAGACATCTTGTCGTTCCATGTTTGGAGATTCAGTGTTTGGAGAAATGGTGATTCCAGGCATGATGCAGCAGTCCTGCCTATGAGATCCTTGCGTGGGCGGAAGTTCATACGGATGAATCAAAGGAAGCATGCTTAAACTGGCAACATCTAGCTGAGCAAGCAGTTTTTCTCAAAGCTGTTTGCAGAGATGTACTTGTGTCCACGGACAAGCTCACCGAGCCTGTGAAAGCAGCATTGCATGTTCTAGATCTCCGGATGCAGCAATGGTTCCGGAAACGTAGGCCACGGCTTGATTAGCGTTTCTTGTCGGATAGAATCTAGTCGCAACATCAGAGCACAATGGAATAAGTAGATCATCAGAGCACACTGTACTGACTAGTTTTCTACTGGTGTCCCAATCCCAAGTGTCGAAATCCTCGATGTGCCTAGCTTGTCGTGCATTGCAGGTTGGGCCCGTCAAGCGCAGATTCACGACGCGCACATGCAACGTCATCGAGCTGCTGACTCGGTATTCGAAGAACTATTGCTTGGGAGTTGCAGCCTGGGACGAACCTGCAGAACAAGACTTGATGGAGAGTTCACCGCCTGTGGCCAGTCAGGGTCAGCATCCCTGTGCACTTGCGCGTGGCAGCAGGTCAGCGACTTGTTTCAAGTACGGCGCTTGTCCACAATGTTGCTCTATGCTTACACAGGGAAATTCGTTGGAAAGCCAGTGGTGAGATGTGCGAAATCTAAAGAGTATGACCGCAACACTGGAAAACGGTGTTGCTTTTACCAGCAACCTTTTTGGGGAAGTCTTTCAAATCTTCCGAAATCTGTGCTTGGCCAGATGCGCACTTTGCGCTCGAATCTGCGTTGGGGCTTACTGCATGGGTACCAGACCCGAGGCTGATGCATGCACACTAGAGTCGAGCATCGGATCCATCGGATCCAAGACTATGTTCAGGGCGCACATGGGCAGATGACAGGCGATGAAGGCGCAGTGCAGGGCGCAATGCTGCAGGGTGTCTTACTGGCTAGTGTGTGTGGCTCAGGCCTATGTGTGTGTATGGCTGAGTCCGTTTTGTGTGCGCAGATGAGTTGTATCTGTGTGCGTGACGGGGTTAGATCTGTGTGCGTGGCTGAGTTGGGTCTGTGTGCGTGGCTGAGTTTTGGCTGTGTGCGCCGCTGAGTTGGATCTGTGTGCGTGGCAGAGTCGTTTACCGGAGGAGAAGGAGAAGAACAACTCTGATAAAATCTAACAACCCTCACCTGGCAGGTGAGGTATATTTATATTTATTTATGAAGAAACATTATGACAATTATGAATGACACATGAATTCCAAACACGTTCAGATCCGATTGTTGTCCAAACGCCAGCCAACCTGTTGTAGATGTTTGTAGGCGAGTCTTTCTGCATGGCCTCACGTTATGTTGTTGGAGGCAAAGCGTTGCAATCTTCATCACTCGGCCCCAGAAAATGATGACCGAGATAGAGAAACTTGTGCCGGATGAGCGTTTGGAGCGAGCAAGGCGTGACAAGAGGTCACAAGATTGTATACAGGATCTGAAGACCATTGATGGCTATTAGCTTTGTCCGACCAACTGCATGCTTGAAGAAACCCAACCGCAATATGTTTGACTTCGTTGACTCCACAAAAAATATGATATTCAAGATTTGGGGAAACTAACCCTGAAGGCTTCGCATCATGAATGCCGCATTATACAAGTGGAGGGAAAACGACGGCTGCTCGATTGCAGAAAAATTTGGGAGATGCAGGTAGTCATCATGCTGAAACATTGCGGGAAAAACAAATTAAAGAAAAACATTTTTTGCCTTGCGCATCCTTTACCTTCATTTTTGCATCCAGGCATTTTTGATGTCGTGATCCATGTCGATCCGCCACCGAACCCTTCGGAGTACTTTTCGCGAAGCTTGATTGCCACTTTGTATTCCTTTGTGCTCCTTGCAGTGGTGCAAAGGGACCTATTGTTTTGCAGTTGCCTGTCATGGCGTCGATATCGGGATATTCTGGACATTTCTGGACCTTGTCTATTTTTGAGGCAGCAATGCATATAGTACAAATGGAATTGGCATGCATCATTTCCATTCATTTCCGTGCGCCCCCCCCCCTCTGCCATCTAAGGGCTTGGATCGTGCAAACAGCTTGCCATCGTGTTCATGGACGTCACCAAGTACCGGTACGGTGTTGAGGGGGAGAGAGGTGTTGAGAGGCCGGAAATCAACGAATGTGCAAGGCGGTGAGACGGACAAACTGGTTTGGACCGTGATGAAAATTAGTAATTAATTATTCTCTTTGGACTGTTGTTGGGTTGACAAATAATTTCAACACATGGAAGACATTTTGGGGATGCAGTCGCAGTTGATTTCCTTGCGGTTTGCACTTGATTTTTTCAGGCTTGAGAATGAGTGGGTGGAATTTGCCTTCTACGCCATGGATCCTGCCACGGGTGAAGATGCACACCGACTACGGCAGTTGTGCAGGCCAGGATCAATGCGACCCAATTGTTGCACAATGATGAAGTAAATATATAAAGAATGCGAACAAATGAGAAAGAATGAGAAAGACAGGATACACTATTGCTAAGATTTACCAAGTATATGTATGTATACTATGTATGGTTGCCCCATGTTTATCTTTTGGGAAAATGCATGAAGGCTTTGCATGGTTGCAAATGACCAATGGTGCCCAGAACAGCCCGTGGTGCATACAAAGCCAGAGAGAGAGAGAGAGAGAGAGAGACTCAAGATATGTATAGATAACAGATATGTCAACATCAGGTAAGGAAGTTCAGAGACGATTTTGGACGTCTCAGGAGGTTTCAAGGCTGCCAGGTTTGGTAAGAGCTTCAGTATGGCTGGGATCTGATTTACTGCAGCTGTTGGGTGCTGCGATCTCACACCTGTGGAGGGGTGAACACTACGAGAAGACGCGACTGTGCCTTGGACTAGAGCCGTTCTGACTAAACTCACACGGAATGCCCAGAGCTGCCCCAATCACAAACACTCATGAACAGTTTTATGAGTTGTTGATTGAAATAATTAGTAACTATATATTAATTAATATTAACTATAGTTCATTAGTTCCATTGCCACCGTTTGTTTTTTATTTAAGATTTGGGAACTCCGGAAGACTCCTTGAAATTGTGCCAGAGGCACCCAAGGTGCATCGCACTTTGCCAAGGTCGCTGTCCTTCCAGAAGGCTGCATCAATCTGCACGGCTGCATTACTGGGGTGTTTGGAGTGCTCTCCCAGTGCGTGTTATGTGAGGCTATGATTCACAGCATTGTTTTTATATTGCATAGGCTGCATAGGACATTGGCCTGAGTTTTGGCTACCTGAACATTCCATCAAAAGGTAGAGGGGGTGCTGAGACTAAGTTGCACATTGCGTGGTCACTGGATGTACACATGGAGAGGGCGCCGTTCTTGGAAACCTGCTAGCCAGCAGCACATTACTGCCAGGATTTCCACGCAGAGGATGATAAAGAGTTCCTTGACTTGGACGTCAGACAAAGCAGTAAGCTGAACTCTACCCATTGCTCTACCAATCTTCCTTTGGTAGATCTAGATTAACTAAGCTATATGCTATATGATATAAATTTGATTCGCATGATGTTGTTGTCTTTTCTTTGTGTATGTAATCTGTAGTAAAAGATAATGTAAATAGTTTTGAAGTTTTGATTTTTCTTCTTATTCCCGAGAGCGTCTGAGCGCAGGGTTCTTCCAATAGTGGGGGTCTGTATCTCACCTTCTCATCTTCACACCTTCTCATCTTCACATCTACTCATCTTCACATCTGCTCATCTTCACATCTTCTCTCACATCTGCTCATCTTCACATCTGCTCATCTTCACATCTTCTCTCACATCTGCTCATCTTCACATCTGCTCATCTTCATACATCTTCTCTCACATCTTCTCTCATCTGCTCATCTTTCTTCATATCTTCTCTCACATCTGCTCATCTTCACATCTGCTCATCTTCACATTTGCTCATCTTCACATCTTCTCTAACATCTTCTCTCACATCTGCTCATCTTCACATCTTCTCTCACATATTCTCTCACATCTTCTCTCACATCTGCTCATCTTCACATCTTCTCTCACATCTGCTCATCTTCACATCTGCTCATCTTCACACCTTCTCTCACATCTTCTCACCTTCACATCTTCTCTCCTTTCTCTCTCCTTTTTCTCTCTCTCGCCTTCTTTATCTTTCTCTCTTTAGGCCGAGGGTGGTACCGGCGGCGAGTCACGAAACGGCAACCCTTTCGCACGAAATGAGGGTCGATCGGCAAAAACTGAGGTAAAATTGCGATTTGACTTGTGCCGGAGCAACCCTTTCGCACGAAATGAGGGTCGATCGTCAAAAACTGAGGTAAAATTGCGATTTTACTTGCCCCGGAGCAACTTTTTCGCACGAAATGAGGGTCGATCGGCAAAAACTGAGGTAAAATTGCGATTTGACTTGTGCCGGAGCAACCCTTTCGCACGAAATGAAGGTCGATCGGCAAAAACTGAGGTAAAATTGCGATTATACTTGTGCCGGAGCAACCCTTTCGCACGAAATGAGGGTCGATCGGCAAAAACTGAGGTAAAATTGCGATTTGACTTGCCCCGGAGCAACCCTTTCGCACGAAGTGAGGGTCGATCGGCAAAAACTGAGGTGAAATTGCGATTTGACTTGCCCCGAAGCAACCCTTTCGCACGAAGTGAGGGTCGATCGGCAAAAACTGAGGTATAATTGCGATTTTTCGTGTGCTGGAGTAACTTTTTCGCACGCAAAGAGGTTTGTGTGTACGAGCGTTTCTGTGTAAAGATGTTTGTGTGTAAAAGTGTTTGTGTGTACAAGTGCATCTGTGTAAAAGTGTTGTGTGTAAAACCTTCTGTGTGTAAAAGTCTTTGTGTGTAAACGGGTTTGTGTGTACGAGTGTTTCTGTGTAAAGATGTTGGTGTGTACAAGTGATTGTATGTAAAATTGCATCTGTTTAAACGTGATTGTGTGTAAAAGCTTCTGTGTGTAAAAAGTGTTTGTGTGTAAACGTGTTTGTGTGTCGGAGTGTTTCGGTGTAAAGATGTTTGTGTGTAAAAGTGTTTGTGTGTACAAGTGCGTCTGTGTAAAAGCAATTGTGTGTCAAAGCTTTGTGTGTAAAAGTGTCTCTTTGTAAAAGGGTTTGTGTGTAAGAGTGTTTCTGTGTAAAGATGTTTGTGTGTAAAAGTGTCTGTGTAGAAGCGTTTGTGTGTAAAAGCTTCTGTATGTAAAAGCTTCTGTGTGTAAAAGCTTCTGTATGTAAAAGCTTCTGTGTGTAAAAACTTCTGTGGGTAAAAGCTTTGTGTGTAAAAACGTCTGTGTAAAAGCGTCTGTGTGTAAAAGTGTTTGCGATGCAAACTATTGTCTTGCACTTCTCGCTATTTTGTCTTGATACTCCTCTTCTCGACTGCCTATAACACAGCTTTCATATATCGTTTCTAAAATTGCGTCTCCATACTAACGAGAGAAGACCCTGCTCCTCTACGCTCTCGGGCCATCCGTCGTCTAGTTTTTTGGTATTCAGTAAATCTTGCCCTGCTGTGAAGCATTTGTCGCGAGGCACGGCAACCCAAGTCGATACATGTCAATGCTAGCTGATACCTCTAGAACCTGTTCCATACCACAGAAAGGGGCGGAGGCACATCATGGATCATCATGGCACATCTGCATTTTTCTGCTCAGGTTGATTTGGACAGCAGGTGTTGCAGAGACAGACACTGGATTGATCTTCGACGCCGGCCTTTAAAAAAGTGCGATGCGTTCCTCAGACTTTGAATGGCTCTTGGATCTAGAATGGATCTAGATAATCCATGCCATTCCATGCCTATTGTCTATGTCTGTAGTACTCGTCACCATGTGCTGGCTGCTAGCGGTTGCTCAACTGGTCGACACACGCACACACTCATTGACACTCTTTTCCTTCAGGCTTTCCACCACTTCTCTATCAGTATTTGTTGGCATCTTCCCCCCAGTTCACCCTGGTCCAACTGCTACTGTTGCAGTCACATGTTAACTGCACACCCCCAGCACAAACTTGTTTTGCAATGTTTTGCAGTCGTTTGAATCCTGGAAAAAATGATTAACACTTACTGAAAGACAAAGAGCAACTGGAGCATTACGTAAATTCCAATCCATTCCCACCACTTTCGTCTCTTTTATCGCGTCATTATGCTTCATTGGTTTCGCGAGAGCTGCCAACTTTACAGCGCAGGTGGAGGTGAAGCTTCTGCCTCGTTTGAGGCCGCCAACCCTGTGCCGATGTCGATTTGATTCATGTTTGTGTTTGTATGTTTCCTGCAGCGCGGCAAGGCAAGATCTACCTGAAACATTTTGAAACATCTTGAAACTTCACATAATCGAAACTCAGAGTGAACACAAAGTGAGGGATTGAATTGAAAGGCTTGCAGATGCTTGCAGTGCACCTGTCGCTGCTTGAACAGCGCAACAGTCCAACTCCTCCGGACACCAAAGTGTGCCAAAGGTTTGATTCACCCTTGCGCGCGATGTTTTAAAATGTTTTATGCTTAGAATCTTGCTGGGTCTTGTAGCCCTTTGGCACTTGTCATTCGCAAAGACAGATATATTTGCTTATTTGAACTGTGATGGGCACAAATCGTGGCAAGGCTTTCGCACAGCCCTGGGACTAACCTTCAGTGCTTCAAAGGTTTCAGGTGTCCTCGATCCCTTTGGGCCAGAGAATCGGCAAGATCTTGCAGAGCTTGCAAGCTTTGCTGATACCCTGTTGGTTGAACACTTTGCATCCGTGGACATCGGCAATTTTGTGGCCGTGCTATCCGAACCGGGTCTGACTCGAAACAAACAGCGAGCGCAGGACTGTGTTTATGGAGTGGTGTCCGCGCTCTACATCCGAGGGCAAGAGCTTCTGACCCAGGGTGATATCAGTGCCGCTGCAGCGGATTGGGAGATGGCTCTGCAGTTTCTGGGGAAAGAATTGGGGCTGGACTTCATGGAGTCCACAGAGTGGCCGCGATCCGCCAACATTTTGTTATCCTTGGCCAAGCTACAGGGATCACCAGTGACAGATGTGACAGCATCACCAATGTCTCCATTCCAACGAGATCAACGAGCTGGTCGTCAAGGTCCACCTGCAGTCGACACCCTGAAAGCTTGGAAGGAGGTGAAGCACCCGCCATTGGAGCAGTCGTCAGTAAAGCTACAGGAACGAAAGCCCGAGGTGGTCGTTTATGGTTACCATCCTGTCCTGATTGAGCCCGTTTCCGCCCTTTGGTCGTTGCAGGCCCTTCGCCTCCATTGGATTGGCGTGAGCGACAGAGACTGCGCTTTCTTCAAGCTTTGCCACAAGAGGAGCCCCCAGAGGCCAGTGCCAGCAAGGTTGAGATACAAAATCTACATGTCCGACAAAGACGTTGCAGAGGTGGAACACGCATACCGAGATTTCTGGGACGCTGAAATTCGATCGGGCTTGTTGGCAGATTTGCTGATTTGTATGGAGCTGCGCGATGCCTATTTTTTGTGGAAGGTCTCTAGATCCATGCATCACACTGTTGCAACTATCTATTATCCAGGCATTATTTTCATGCAGGACGAGGCTATGAGTGACTACGCATCCAAGGTGCTGCTGGACCAATTTCAGGAACTCAGCAGTCACGACGTGCTGCGACAGGGAGGGCTTCACCGTACAAGTGGTACAGTTGCCATGATTGCCCAATCACCATACCTCGCTGCCAGCATCGAATACCACACGGGGCGGCAAATCGCGACCGTGCGGCCATTGGCAAATTATTTGGATGTCAAGTACCGCCCCAACAGCTCCACCATCCTGGTGCTTTGTGCCAGGACGCGCCTCATGATGTCCCACAGTTGCCGTGGTCTTTTTCGTGAGGGCCAGCATCGTTTGCAGAGAGGCTTGCATCTGCGCTTGCCACCTGGTGACCGAGATGTGGTGCATGGCTACTCTTTTGAAGAGGTCGCTCGGTTCAGTGCAACGGTGCTAATTCCATGGAACATTGCTGTGACCACGTTCCATGAACTCTACGCCATGAACATGCCGTTGTTTGTTCCAGATCGCTTGTGGCTTGCCAGGCTTTGGCCAAAGCAAATGACCAGTTATGGCCGGAGCCATCCCAATTTGCACCAACAGCTCCGACCCAGTCCAAGTGGTTCCAGTGATTCCCGTCGTCCAAGTCATCCAACTCCATATCCGTCCTTGGATCATGTGGCTCAGGACTTTCCCACCATGCTCTACTGGGCCGGCTACGCCTTCCTTGAGATGCCTGGGGTCCAGGTTTTTGCATCGATTCCCCAGCTGCTGTGGTCCCTGAACAGCGGGGCTTATAACTTGGAGAAGATGTCGCAAGAGATGAAGGAAGAGACCAGCAAGGCGGCCCAGGAGGTCATACCTTTCTGGGCCGCACTGATGGAAGAACTGACCGATACAGTGGATCAAAGTGGAAAAGTCAGAGGATCGACGGATCGATGGAGCGACTATGAGCGACTGGATTGTTTGAGTTGTTGAGAAGATTCCGATCCCCTACCTTGGCATATCACATATTTATATCATTGATATCATTGGCATTTGGCATTTCAATTTATGTGCGTGTGATGAGCATGTCGAAGTGCCCAAGTTTTGCCTTCATATATAGTGTCCAAAGATGTCTAAAGAGGTTGCTCGAAGACCACTAGATAGAAGTTCTGAAAGTGTTAGTTAGACGATATCTCATGCATCACCCTCCCCGGCTGAGTCTCTTCAGAAAGTAAGTAGTGCGATCCATACATTTTTTTCATCATGCAGTTCATATCGCTGAATTAGCTATTCAACCATATCGGACGCATTCCAACGCAATGTTGGCTTTGGAGTGCTGTGCGGCCAAATTTGACCACGAGACCCAACATTTAGAGTCACGAGTCACGGTGTACGTATAGTTTTAGTTTTTGAAGCGCAGGTGGAGCCGGTGCTTCATTGTGGATCCTGCGGCCATGCAACTTGGCATTTCACCTGCTTCGAAGTTTGAGATTCGTCGATCTGGCGAGGACTGGTGACATTCTTCTCATATTCGGTGCCCTATATGGGAGCGTTGCTCTCGGCGTTTCTGTTGCTCTCGGCTCAGGTGGCTTCTTCCGGTCAGCGCTTTTGCCAGCATTGTGGTCAGCGCTTGGAGGCTTGGCCCATGGCACGAGCCGGTGCATCCCAATGGTGCTGACTTCCTACGGCGGATGTACATGCGCAGTCCAATCAGACACGTGAGAATCAGGAGATATCAGGAGCACCATGGGGCACCCTTCATGCAGGGCATTATTAAACAATGTCAACCTGATGGCTCCTATAATTTTCATGTCCACGCCCTAAACACCTCATACTCGTAATAGGGTAGTTGCACGCAGCAGACCTTGGCTCTGGTCGGGTTGTTTTGGCCGCTTGAGGCTAGCAAGCAACAACAATAGCGAAACTTAGAGGTACAACCACTATAGCGTTTTTCTTGTTATCCGATCATACCCCCTTTGCCATCCTTTGCCCACTTGCCTTTCTTGGACCCATGACCCGCCACTAAAACATTGAACATCCCTGTGTCTCTCCTACGCGGCTCCACGTATTTGTTTGACCGCTGCAACTGCGGGGTTGCTCCGGATGGATGGTCGCTCTGGCTCGTGGCATGTGAGATCATGTATGGCAATGTATGGCAATGTATGGCAATGTATGGCAATGTATGGCAATGTATGGCAATGTATGGGGATGGGGGGACGGGAGATGGACTCAGTATGAATCAGTAAGTCATGTAGACTCGCCACTTTGCTTGGGGAAGAAAGCTGAAAGCTGGGCTGGAAGCGAGAGTGCTTTCAAGAAGATTGGTTGGATGAAGGAAGTAGATACACAGGAGATGGCAGGAGTGCAGTGAAGCCTCAGGTTTGAACTCTTGTAATTAGTGCTATCGTTGGATCTGTCTGACTGCAGCCATATGTCAGATCAATAGATACTTGGAACAGCTTGAACCATCAAGCACTCCCAGATCAAGACCTTTGCCTTTGCACCCCTTCAGACCTTTGTTCAGACAAAGGTTTGGCAGGGATGGAGCCTCTTTCCTCTTTTTGTTACCCTCTGCCAAATTGACAAAAGTAAAAGGTTTCTCAAATTCGAGCTCGCTGTGAATGACAAGTGCCATCCTGGGCCTTCACAATGGATTTTGGCCAATACTAATGCACAGGCGAAGGGAAGCCGCATGAAGTACTATGAAGGAGTCAGGAGACCCCTGGAGAATGTTTGCATATGCATAGCTGAACATAGCTAGCTGCACTGCATCTACCCTTCATCTCTGCAAGCCATGGAGCGGCGCAGTCGCTGGCAGAAACGAGCTGAGCCAGTGCCAGAGCCGGAGAAGCCTGTGCCTGAAAGCACTGAAAGGCAGGGCCGGGAAGAGCTTTCAGGGCCATTTGGGGCTGGGCGCGAGCATGGTGACGGATGGTGACGGTACAAGCAATGAGCTTCATTTCTGCAATTTGCTGCATATAATGCTTCGCACCGCCATCCTACTCATGATCCTCATGATGCTCATGACCATCATTACCATCACCATTACCATCGCCGTCCTCATTATCATCAGCCTCCTCATCATGATCATCACGAGGATATTCGCGACTGTTCTTGTTGTTTTGTCCAGGCCAGCTCCTGAAGATGATTCCGACTCTGAAGGTCACTTGGATTGATTTGTGGATTCACCTGTGGTAAAATCCAATGATTCATCAATATCATCACTGATTTTTCTTTATGTTTTACCTATAGCAATACTATGGGAAAAGAAAGCTTATCATAAAAAGTTTTCTTGCAAAGGGTGCCTTGACTCATTGGATTGATGGGACTAGCTAGACCCAGGCAAACAGATGTGAAAAGACAAACACGGCTTTCGCCCGCAAAGCCACCTGCTTTTTTGCCAATCATGACCACAGATATGCCTTGGCTTATCCTGGCTTGCACAGTCATGGTGAGGTTTCTGGGACGAACTGCCACCCAGCAGAGCGCGAATGGACTCTGCCACTGTCCGAAATGGAGATCATTTAGCTAGCGGACAGCCTGTGTCGTCAGCGCCAGTGGAGAATCCCCGATGGGTACTCCTGGCTTAAATCTGCGTACAGTGCTTGGTGGGAACTTTGAGTTTGTTCACCAAAGTGTCGTTGAGCCTTGATTTTATCAACCACACTTGACTTTCTGGAATTTACTTTGGATTCTGGATCATTTTGGACCTATGTGGGCAAGAAATCCAAGAAGTCTGATTCATTTTTTTGAGATGAAAGAATTGTATAGAATTGTGAACCTCGAGAGTCTCGAGAGGGTTTCCGTTTATTTAGTTTTCAGCAACTGTGGGTTTGGTACCTTGATGTGGCCTTGAGCTGTTGTATTTAGGGCATTGTTTCACAATACATTGCGTGATCATTTTTGCGTGGGAAGATTGATGCAATATGCAGCAGCTTACACCAAAATATCTTGAGGGGCTTAACCTCGGGTCAGTGCATTTGACTTGCATAGTGTGACCCAGCTTCGTTTCAAGATGTTTCAGCAGGCTTTGTTGTCCCTGTGTTTTTTCTGATTGTTTCCGAGTGCCAACCTCGGGTCTCGTAGATTTTATTGAGTCAGGAAGTGGTATCGCATGTTCAGGCCCCTAGATTCCCAGGATAACAGTCCGATATTATCCGATATGGATATGGCTAGCTTTCTGGGGGATCAGACCCTCCTAGGCACTGCCGAACGGGGACGTGGTGAGAGGGCCCAAAGTGCCCCAAAAACAAAGGACTCTCAGCAGCATAAAGAAGGACCTAGATTGCACGGTGCATACGACCGATCCATTACATAATTCGTCGTAGTATGTGCGGATATGTGCGGTATGTGGTAGTCATAAATTTCATGCTTATGTATATATATATATATACAGTAGAATGTCGAATTTCCATGAATTTCCAGGTTCCATTGGTTGTTGGATGCAGGAAGCAACATCAATCTCCAGCAATGACTCCGGCAGAGCAGCCAGAGTGGAGTCAGCCAGAGGCCGTTTCTAAGATATGCTGTGGCTGTTGTTTTGTCGGGATTTGTCGGGCACATTGCAGGCGTGTATCACAACCCATGGGTGGATGCTTAAAGTTTTTAATTGCTGTCAGCTGCCCAAAAAAGCACTCTGGAAGCACAATTGCTTTTCCAGGTCTCTCGGAATAACGGCTATCAGAGAAATGGCCGACTTGGCATGAGAGAATTGGAAAAATGGGATGCCGAGCAAACTGAAAAGCAACAGTTTCTTGGCTGAATGAAAATAGCGAAGGATCCTGGAATATATGGAAAGTGGAGAAAGAACCTCCACAAGTCACCACCCACATCAAACATCCGCAAAAATGAGTTTCATCATAAAAGCATATAAAAGCGCCATTTGTTCCGCTGCATGGTGCCAAGAGGTCTGCAGGGCAAAATCAGCTCATCCACATGGAGGAGCTGCACCCAGGCCCATTTGGCTGAGTATGCTGAAATGAACAGTAACAGATGTAACAGGACACATGTTATCTTCCCCCTTCTGTGGATGTTTATTCTTGCCAGGATGAATCTAGGAGTATGGACTAGTATCAATCAACATCAATGGAAACCAATAGAGATCAAGAGAGCATCATTGAAGGAAGTCTTGCACGATAACTTCATCAAATTGCTGTCAGATGCAGGCGTCGAGGAAGAAAAAGACGTTTTGGAGGCCATCTATGGTGCAGAGTTTGAGATCCTAGGAGCTGCAGAGTGGAGGTGCCAAAGCTCAGCAGTCTGCACGTTTTTTTCCGCAAGTTTGACCCACAATGATCACAATGACACACCAGGCCAAAGCGCAATCACATCAATCCTGAAATATCGTGAAACGATTAACGCTATGACACGTTGCTGTCACGGGATTAACTTTCTGCATGTGGTCCATTTAGTTCGTGTGGTGTTGCATCAAACCATACGTATTCTCTGTGATCCTTATTTGCATGATCCTTCTGGGATCCTTCTGGTAGACAAGCGGGGGTCAGTGTTCCTGACATGAAATTCTTGTAGTGATATATAGTGATATCAAATTAGGCCCAAGATCACTCTCAATATCGTTCAATATGTTTCCATCCTGGAAGTTGTGGCAGGATCCGTTTTCCATCGCCGCATGATTCAGCTTTGCGGTTGCTGCTACCGGTCGGAGACTCATGCGCTGGGGAGATGGTGAGAAGCGATCATTCTTGCGGTTAGCGCGAGCCAAGCTGAGGCTGGCTATCCATGTACAGAGCCACCGGTGCCAATTTTCGATTGTGAAGGACTGGACTGACGTAGCAAACTATATATAACAAGATGGTCAGAAAACTTGTATTTTTAAAGGGACCGTCATCATACGATTTGGCCATTTGTATCTTGCATTCTTGTGCTTTTGCAGTAATTAATGTTGACCGAGCAGAATGACAGGAGCATCTGAGCCTTTACGACATGCAGCCGCGGATGCTATTTGCGAACTCACTGAGAATTGGGAACCACCTATGGAAGGAGAAGGTTGTATTTACCAGCCCCTCAGCTGTGCTTCATTGATCTTTATTGGTTACAGGCTTCTATGGCGAGTATCACACCTTCAATTTTCAACATTTTTTAAAGCTTTTTCAGCCACACCCAGCTTGCTCAGTGATCCGTAGTGTGCCAGTGATCCGTAGTGTGCCTCAGTGACCACCAGGTGGGTGGAGCGGCTGCGAGAGTGTCTCGAGCCAGCTCTTGCATTGGAGGTTGCACAAAGGGAAGAGCTTTTTGGCAGCTGATGACAGCGCAGCTGATGGTTGTGGCGTGCATTCTCCAGCGCAGTCAGCTGCATGTGCGACAGCTAAGGTCAGATGAAAGTTATGCAGTGGCACTGCAAGCCCAAGAAGCTTACACAGAGGTAGCTTGCAAGGGTATTGGAGACAAGGTTGCATGCGGTAGACAATACCTATCACTAATCTTGGCATGGTGCTTTTAAAAGCTAACACATTGCAAGGCCTGTCATCTTCCAGATGTAGACAAGGTGACCATCCCTCAGATCTCACCTTTTTGACTTGCAAGTCTTGAGGCTTCTGCCAGCAGTAAGGGGTTCACCTTCTTGCCAGCCAATCCGCAGTATGGACTCTTGCCTGATGGTTCGGCTTGATGTTTTCATTGTGCGGTTAGTTGGTTCAACTATGTTCAACCCCACATCACAGATCAAGACACACAGAACGTCAAAAACACGCCATCCTCTCACCTGGCACTTTGTGTTTGTTCGCATATGCAGGGTGTCAGATGGATAGAATTTTGATAGAATTGGTAGAATTGAGACATCTTACGACTCTTTACGGGTAGGTGACTGTCAGTCTTCTGAACTTCTGATAATGTCAACCCCGGATTAATAAACCATGGTTTATCAGGGGGGTATTCCCCCAATAGTCATGATTTGATACTTATAAATGGTACCTTCCAAATTAAACAGCCTAGGGGTTGCACTTTCCCCGACCATGCAGTGCCCAGGACAGAGAAGGCGGACCTTTGACGACACTGCCTTCGAAGCTGCGAATGCTGTCGACATCAAACGGGGCGAGCCGTTCACAGTGACTGGGGATGCAGACATGGCAACACCGGTGGCGCTTGGCACTTTCAGATTCCAAATAGATTGATGTAATGATGGATAGGTGATAGATGATGATAGATACATCGAAAGATAGGGATATATATAATATACAATTATATTAATTATGTATAGATGACAAAAAGGGATAGAGATGCAGATGCACAGAGATGACGACAGATCATTACAGATGAATATAGATGGATAATGATGGATATAGAGAAAGAGATGGATGGATCAATAGATAGATAAAGAGACAGGTGAAAAGATGAAGTGATAGATGGATAGAATATGATGGAATATGATGGAATATGATGGAATATGATAAAATGGCAATGGGCAGGTAGATAGACGGACAGCCAGGCAGATATACCAATATAATCCAATACACGCAAGGAATTACCAGGAATTACCTTAAAAGGCAGGAATGATTTAGGTGCCCTTGATGATCTCGCTGGTTTAAGGACCGAAAGTCTACTTTCCAGGCCTTCGCCGCAAAGGTGTCCAATCAAGGTCAAGTGAATTGGGTTTCTTGGGCTAATGTTGGATCTTGTTGGTTCAACACGGATCAACATGGATCAACATGGATCAATACTTGTACTGTACTGGTATGCTGAATGTATAGTGGAGATGCGCTGTGCCACCTGGATGTTGGGCGTGATGTTGGGCGTGCTGTTGGGCGTGCTCAAAGGGCACCGGAGCATACCGGAGCCAAGGCCTTGCGGATGTTGCTGGAAGACAGAAAAATTGCCGTGGCTACTCACAATATGTTCGCTTACAGGCGCGACATGCCGCCTTGATTGACTGCAAGCACCTGAATGCGTAGAAAGGACAACTGCTTTGAACTGCTTCGATGCATTGCCTATTTGAATCTATTTGACTGTTTGATTAAGACCTTTTGGTCATTTTTGGGTCCTCCTACTGCTTTTGCATCATCCAGCAGACATTGTGTATTTGTATATAATATATACTCGTTGTTTTGGATGATGTGTGAAAGATTAGCCATTGTTAGTGAAGGGAAGCACCAAATGGGTTTGTGTCTTCAAAGTGTTTAATCGCTTTTCGATGTGTCCAGGTTTCGCGACGAGGTGCGTGGCATCCAGGTTGCGGACAATGAGGACGACGGCGAGGACATCGCTGATTTTTTTCTCGTGCGCAGCTTCTGCATTGTGGTATCACGGTAAGCTCAGAACAGAAATGTGAAACATGCATCACTGCAGAAATATTGAGAATTTCCATGTGATTCCAAATTCTTATTTTTTTTCAATGCCTTTGTGTCTTGAGTCTTGAGGATGGTGCCGGATCAAAGCTGGCAGAACTCCTCCAGCTCGCTGATTGTGAGGACCCGTTTTGTTGAGTCACGTGGTAGGATTTGGACAGTGTTGTTGGAATTATGTTGGATTGATATTATCGACAAGTGACTAGCAAGTGCGGAATGTTTGCAATGTGCAAGGCAAACAGCTGTCAACCCGATACATCCTGACTGATATCTGATAATCGTTGGCTTTACTCCGGGTGGTTACAGAGAGTTGCTGGTGCCTTTCTGTCACTGCCACAGAACAGCCAATCATGCGGGAAGCAACAAACCAGCCGTGAGCAGTGCAAAACAAGCTCGAAATTTGCTGTTGGCTTACAGGAAAGAATAAGAAAGCCAAGAACTCCAGAAAGTCTGGGTCGGTCAGCTGCAGGATGTCTTCGTCATGGTGAGTCGCTGGTATGGTGGCATCCATTTAGGCTGGGCCATTTTTTTTTTGTGTTTTTCATGGGCAAAAGGCTGCTAAGTCTGCTGTTGCATGGCTGCGCATCGCTTTGAAAGTTGATAGTGCCCTGGTAGTTATTACTGTATGTAGTTATTTATTAATGTACACAAAGAACAGCAAATAGCCAAACAGGCAGATGCAAGAAGCGCAGTGAAGGTCATTCTTGACCCATGAGCTGCAGCTCATGTGTGAGGCTCCGACCGCTTCAAACACATCAGCCGCGCTGCTTCATCTCTTCTAGATGAGCATGGCTGGAGTGGACGGAGTCAAGGAGCCTGCTAACTTGGTCCGACAACATTGGGGACAACGTTTGTGTGGTTTGTTCTCTTGGTTTGGTTCTGTCACTTTGCTTTTTTTGGGGAGCACCTTACGTCACTGGCAGCTGGCACTGAGAAAACATTCAGTACTGTAACAAGAGATGAATGTCAAATATTGATAAATATTGTAAAATGTCAGAGGTATCATGAGGTATCATGAGGTATCTATATATCATAGGTTTTAAAATCTTTAAATGAGACCGAAGTGCATGCGTGCCAGTAAAGCAGCCCGGCTTTCGCTGTGGCTCCCGTGCCAGGCCGCGGTGCACCAAAGAAAAAGAAGTGAGCAAAAAAAATGATCCCTGATCTCATCTCTGCATTTGCAGCCGTGCATTGCAAGGGATATCAAGGGATAAGGGAGGCTCACCTGGCTGCCAGGTCAAAGATGCAGCCTGGACCTCAAGTCTCGATTCGGTGCAGAATTTTGCAGTGTAGATTCTAAGTTTTAAGATGGTTGAAATATGTTTTAAGGATACTGTTTGATACTGTTTGATACTGATTGATACTGTTTGATAATGTTTGATACTGTTTGATACTGTTTGATACTGTTTGATACTGTTTGATACTGTTTGATACTGTAACTGTATCAAACAGTATCAAACAATATCAAACAATCAGTATCAAAAAATCAGTGTCAAACAATCAGTATCAAAAAATCAGTGTCAAACAATCAGTATCAAACAATCAGTATCAAACCGTCCGTATCAAACGGCCCGTATCAAACAGTATCAAACAGTATTTGTTTGCTTGCTTGATACTGTTTGTGTGCGTTTCTGGTTGGCAGGTTTTGGAATCTTATGATATCCTTTTTTTATGTTTAGACATGTTTATAATAGACGTTTAGCAGTGTTCTAGCTCTAGATGCTAGGGGCAGATGTCTTTTAATTGAGATGTGCCATATCTTGCAGTCATGCCACTGTCTTTGACGAGATTGAGTGATCCAATCGCCGTTTGGCTTTGAAAGAGCAACGTGAAATCCTACACTACCTCTTCCTGACAAGTAGCAGGGAGGACACCGAGCAGCTTCATTGGATGTGTCCACTTGCCGTAGCCTTGGGTTGAGATCCAAGTGGAAGAAGGGCACCGGGTATAGCTAGTGCAGCATGGGGCGTGATGTGCCATACAGTAGGCTGATTATATAGATGCTGCATGATGCTGCAGCATGTCATAGTCATAGTCATAGTGTCGTGGGGGGCATTAGGGGGGCTTAGGACAATGTCAATGTAGCAGTACCACCTTAAACATATGTTTATTATATTGATTATATTGCAATTTTATGCATATATTTATTTATACCATTGGATACCAGCAGTTGGTTTCATACCTTGTGTATCCTTGTGTAGATTCTGCGCTTTTGGGGTGCACGCGCAGGACGGTGAAGGATGGAGGCAGAGGAGACGCAAAGTGGAGCCAGTGTGGCCAGTGTAGCCACTAGTAGTGGCATACTGTGGAGAACTAACAAATAGAAAAACATAGAAAACAAATCGTGAGGGATGATTGATCTCATTCCATATCATTCCATATCATTCCATATCATTCCATATCATTCCCATGGCAGCTGGCTTTTGGAGGACAAGTTCGCAGCACTGCGCACGAAGATCTTCACAGAGTCGCTGGAGACCTCCAATGAGCCAAGGTTGGGAGGGTGCGTCAGGGTCACAACATGTCACAACAAAAGTCAGACTTCTGATAGAACCTAAGAACCTTTGGTGCGGAATCGCCGAACCATTCAGGTGGGGCTACTTTGGCATTCCAGGCTCCCTCGCCATCGGTGACAACTCCTATGCACCAAGGTGCTCGCACCTGCTGTGCAAATTCATGTGCCTTCCAAGTGTATGCCTAACGGCCTGGTGGTTGGTGTTTGGTGTTTGCTGGTGACGCCAATGACTCTGGCACTGCGCTTTGACATTCTCAGGTTGACAAAGAAGCCTGTAGCAGATGATGAAGAGAACACCACCCGCAATATTCAGGCATGTCCGACAAAGATTCTTGGACTTTCCTAGACCGAGCAAATGCCTCCATTGTGAAAATGGCGCACATAAACGCAACAAGGCTGACAGAACAAGCTTGGTGGTGCATAATTTTTGGTTTTGCCCCATACAGTGCCACACAGTCCTACCGCATCTACCGCCAAAGCTTTTGGTGCCAAGGAAAGGTACAACTCCTGATGTCTACTTCAAGTTCGAAACTCCCTTGGCGATTGGAGATCCGACTCTTTGCTGAAGCTGACCTGACCTGTTTTGTTTTAGCATGTTTTAGCCAAGGCGAGGAAGAGGATCAAAGGATCGAAAGGATAAGGATTTTGAATCATTTTGACTTCGTTTATTACTTTGTCACATGTTTCATCATGTTTCATCATTTTTTCCAAATGATACCAATGTTTTCAATTGCTGAGGTTTGTGGACCCAGGGATCGCAATGAAGAAGGGAAAGGTTTGGATGCTGGATCCTGATGCCACCTTCAAGCCTCCTGGGAAAGTCAAACAGAGTTTCTCGGCGGTGCGGCGGTGGCAAGCCATTGCAAGCCATTGCAAGCCATTCATTGGGTCAGATTTCTTCTTTACATTTCTCTACGCAACTACTGCTCAACTGACTTCCATATGAGACCTCATATGTTTTGTTGGAAGATGTTGGAAGAGTGCTCCTGCTTCCCATGTCAAGGCATCAACAAGCTTGGCTATGAATATGTGTGGTCCCAAGAGTGGCGATGTTCTCTTTCCAGTATTCTTCTATATTCTTCTCATGGAGTCATGAAACATAAATTCAGGTGGAGCATTGTGACCAAGTGAAGGATCCCAAGGAGGTGAAAGAGAAGTGACCCAGGGCCTTGAGCAGAGATGAGCATATTTTGCGTATAATCCCTTCTCCCTAATACTAAACGTCCCCCCCCTAATAATAAACTCTGCAAGTAGTTTTTAGTATTAGGGGGGTACTTATTATTAGGGAACCAAATCGAAATCATGTTATTCATGCATTATAATGGAGGAAGGGATTAAAATCAATTAATTTTCTTTATATAACGCAATTAAAATATTGCCAAAAATGGGATTTCGAAGCTTCCCCCTAATACAAAATTAAAACCCTTAATAATAAAAACTATTTTTTCCGATCTCAAAATCAATTAATTTTCTTTATATAACGCAATTAAAATATTGCCAAAGATGGGATTTCGAAGCTTCCCCCTAATACAAAATTAAAACCCTTAATAATAAAAACTATTTTTTCCGATCTCAAAATCAATTAAATTTCTTTATATAACGCAATTAAAAAATATTGCCAAAAATGGGATTTCGAAGCTTCCCCCTAATACTAAATTAAAACCCTTAATAATAAAAACTATTTTTTCCGATCTCAAAATCAATTAAATTTCTTTATATAACGCAATTAAAATATTGCCAAAGATGGGATTTCGAAGCTTCCCCCTAATACTAAACACCCCGGGGTTGACTACTTTTTAGAATTAAGGGGGGAAACCCACAAATGGTACGTTGATTTTTAAATTGTTTTCTAACGGGGATCCATTAAAAATCAAATTGGCCAATCTGAAATTTTCAAAAATTGGAGATGGACACTAGTTTTTAGTATTAGGAGGGGGTTTAGTAATAGGAAGAAGGGATTAGATTGTATACTGTATATATGTATATTATATGAGCTACAGCCAAAATTTAGTTTAATGGAGAGTAGTATTCGAGACATCTTTATTTTTTAATTGAGCTGGGGCTTGGAAAACGATAATGCACTCTTCAAAAAACGATAACATTTGCTTATATACCAAAACCTGAAAAACGATAATACACTCTTCAAAAGTTGATGACTTGGAGCTATATACCAAATATTGACCGTGGCCCATATAGTCATGTCATGTCATTTCATGTAATTTCCGATCTGATTTCAGGCCATTGCCTCGGTAGCACACTAAAATGCAGGCTTTCAGTTGAAGATATGATATGCTGGACTTATAATACCATTATATTATATGTATGCGTATTTGTTACTGTGGGCAACTACAATATTTGCACGTTCTGTATCTCAAATATCGATTGCAAATCCATACAGGTACTCAGACTACATCCCGCCTCGCAACATTCTGGGAGGTGCCTCGAAGAGAGGCGTGGAGCCATGTGGAGTCTGGTGAGCCACAAGAAAAACCTATACAGCATCTCAGAATTGGTTTGTGCACATTTGTGCATTGTGGGAATTGCCTAAGATTGCCAACAAGTACGAGCAGCGTTGCGACGTTGAGGGTGTTTTTCCCTTGTCTTGAGCCGCACAGCGCTGCAATCTAGTGCGCAGGTGGCCCTGGTGTGCTCACTGGCGGCGTTCTTTTTGGCTTTGGGGACTGGGTTTCCGTCTAAAAGAACTGGCATGTCAGAACCAGTGTCGCTGGTTTGATGATCAACAAACAGCCCAAGAATGATCAGGAGCCTGGAGCTTTTCCAGAACACATCCCCGATGACTATGATGCAGCCAGGCTGGCTAATCTGGCGAAAATTGAGGTCAGAGGGCAAACTAGCATCTTTGATGCAGCCACCCGTGGCCACCCTGGAAACATTTGGAAACCGCTGGGCTCAACCCAAGTCTGTGGCATTGGCAGGAAGCAACGCAAGAAAGAGCTAGAGGAGCACCACGGTGCCTTGGCAGCCCCTAACAGACACTTGCTCAGAACAGTCGTTTCGAATTGGCATGTTGAGATGCATCTGAGGTGCAAAACAACGGCAACAAACAACTGAAAGGATGAAACACAATGATGTATGTGTATATATATATATATATATTTGAGCCACCGCGAAAACCCAGGCAATACTAAACATGTAAGGGACGGACATTGGAAAGCCATATTAATCCCATTTTTGGATATTTTTGGGGGTCAAACGGCCTTGGCCTTTTTTTTGGTAGTTACGGCTTTGATCGTCTGGAGCCACTTGTGTGAGAGTTGCTACGGCTCTTTACGTTCTTTTTTCAACAAAATGTAGAAAAAAACGTATTTTTCTACGGGTAGGACTGCAATGTTCATTTGATTTGACCATTTTTTGTCATTCCGGGTAAAAACAATATTTTACAACCCAAAAATCATCATCACGGTTTTTTCCCATGATGACCAGAACATTTTGTGATTTTGGCTTTCCAGGATATTACATTACTGTCTAGTGTTTGGCAGGTTTGGGTGGACAGTGGTCATTTCTTGGTGGTTGGTGAATTAAGGTAATACAAATGCCAATTTTGGATTAATTTTGGCTCAAGTAAACTTGATCCAAAATAGCAGAATTGTTTTCCTGGCCTTCCCTGAAATCTACGATTTTGACCCTCCCTGTTATAGGGTCCCCGGTGAGGTAATCCTATAACTATAACTTGTATATAGTCTGCGCTGAAGATGGGGTCACACGCACACACACTAGACAAGAATGGATCATTATATGATCCGGCAGGAACTGAATCCTGAAACATGCAAACCAGCCTAGATCGTTAGATTAGTAAAGGAGCCACATGAGGTACTTCTCGAAAACGATGTAGGGCATCCAATGTTGTCAAACGAAGTCAAAACCAGGATCCATAGAGTTTTAACCAGCATGTTGAGAATCCACAATAATGTTTCGGCGATTGTTTCCCAAAATAACCCAAAGTTCGTCGGCGACATGATCTCGGCGAAAATATGTCAAAAAATCATAATACTGTCGGCGATATGGTTTCGGCGAAAATCTGAGGAAGGTTCTGATGCATGCAATACAGATTGTGGCAACCGTGTAGATTCGAAACAACGCAGTGTAACAGCTTGATCAACAGTTGAAACCAAATTTTGCAGGTACACAGAGTTGATCAGACTCTGCTTCCAGCACAAGTGGATAGCTTCGTTGGGTGCAGTCTCCACTGTGCTCTGCACCCCCCTGCAAACTAGTGAAAACCAATCAGAAGTTTTACATCTGTTCAGATGGTACACACACACACACCTCGCATATAGCGAGGTTGGATTTTTTGGAAGAACTTCGCTGGCGGAATCGGCAATACACCAGTGAGAGTGAACCTGTAAAAACCAAATGTACAAACGGGCGATCACTTCAGTCAGAAGAAGAAGAATTCGGAGCTTGTAGAAGGACTTCGAAAGCATCGTGGAAGCTCATGCGTTCAACCATCGCCCACGTCTCATTGAATTCCCCAGATGCCGTAGCAGCCTTCAAGGCCTCAGAAAGATCCGTGGCTAATTCGTGGATCCGGGTGGTAAGGCTCGGTTCCTCTGCGGGAGATGTCGTCTCAATGGGCACATTGTGAAAAGGATGGTGTCCGTGTACAAGGGGAATCTCGAAATGATGTCGCCAATAGTCCGCTGTACGTAGGGACCACTCCCAATTGCCCGAAAGACCATAAAAGTAGTGTTCAGGGTCACGACAGCGGGAATGCCCTAGCAAGGGGATTTCTTCAATGAAAAGCTCCCTGGTGTTGTTGGAGTGGGTAATGACCTTGAATTGGATCTGGTGAACCACGCGAGAAGAGAATTGAGCACGATGGAGGTAGTTGTGTGCAGAACTTGACTCCATTGGAAACGGGACGCAAGGAGGTGCTGGTCCTGAATATGTATCAGGATGGGCCATAGTATCCGTGGCAGGTGCCGTACTGTCAGTGACCAAAGGTGCCGACGTAGGGTTGGTCGTAGTGTCGGGAGCTCCTGAGTGACATAGTGCAGAAGTCTGGGCGTCTGGTACTTGAACTGGATTGGTAGGAGCGAGTCCACGGGTAGGATTCGAAGGCCAAGACAAGCCCGCCACGGTCGCGTCTCGTTTGTGTTCCATGGGTGAAACTGTCACAAATGCGAGAAATAGTGCAACAACGGCTGAAGCATCAAGAATTGCAGAAAAAAGCCAATCCCGAAAATGATAATATTCACAAAAATGATAAAAGTGAAATCCAGTCCTCAAGCAAGTGGGTCAATTGCGACGGAGAAGCCACAGCTCAAAGTCAAATAAAATAGAAATCGAAGAATCCTGTGTGTTAGTGGGTTGTCAAGGAAGAATTGAAAACCCTCTAGCATGGTCTTTTTTGGCCGGCTAGCGTATCAGGGCAGGATCACACCGGAGCTAATTTTGTAGCATTGCAAACGTAGTACGAAAGGCTGTCTGGTACCCGGAATGAGGAAAGAAGATTCACGGGAGTTGTACTGCCGAAGTCGCCATTCAGGTCGGTATGCCTCCAAAAGCTGCAAGACCGTCATATCATTGGAAACTTGGAATGTCTCACCGTCCAGGTCGCAAAAGCGAAACTCCAGATTCGAGGGATCAATTTGGATGTCCCATTGGGACCTCAATCTTTTGGAGATACAGAAGCGAAGTTCGGCAATTGGGATGAGGCCGGCTTCAACTGGTTCCATCTGACGTGACCAGGTAAACAAAGCTGCAAGTTCAAAGCCACTGACATGTCTAAAATTGGAGTTCACCAGAGCCATGTAGTGTTCACGGTCAGGTTCGCTTCGGTGAGTCAATGCCTGTAGGGGAGAGAAGTCAACCAAGATAAGGACAGGTCTGTTTGGAGGAGGGTTCGCATCACCAGGAAGGCCTCGATGTCCAGCAATCCATCCAACGGTTCGTGTACCAAGCGGTGTCTCAATCGTGGATGTAGCGCGATATGGATTGGGTCGAGAAGAACGAGCCATTGCGTCGAATGTGAAGTATCGAGGATAAAGCGAAAAGCCCAAGCTGCAAAATGGGTTGGAATAGCCACAGAAACCAGCTCAAAGTGTTAGAAATGAACGAGAAACGGTGTACCTAGTAAATGGTCACACAAAGAGACGATGAATCACAGGTCTTTTTCCTGCCGACAAATAATGTGGTATATTACACACTTGAGTCCGACGTATCCATCGGGTCAATATCATTCGCATCCAGCGGACCATGTACTTGTTGAGGAGGGACAGCGGGGCGAGTGAGATGTACAGTACGTTGTAGTGTTGCCGGTGGGGAAGAAGGTGGTGTAGACCGCCAAGGTGGCCAATATAAAGAGGTAGTAGTTCCTTGAGAATGGTGTTGGGCAGAGCGTCCCCAGCATGACTGTAAAATATGGAGGTGGTCCGGTATCGCTTCGTACGGCTGTGAGACAGAGACGTTGGAGTGTTCAGGGTGTGGTAAAACGGGAACAGTAGTTGCCGTAGGGGAGGAGGATGATGATTGAATTGGTACGTCATAGTATCTGCGCCAATGGTTAGCTGTAGTACGCAAGGTCGCCTGGTCGTTGGTGAGGTGCATGTTCTCCAGGAATGTTTCCACTGGTTTCCACGTTTCAAGACCATCAAGTGTCCTTTCCACGATCCAAAGTTCATCTGAACGGTTAGACAAAGGATAGCCCAGCTTCTTGATGAAGACGGAGTGGACAGTGGTAGAGGTCGGAATCATTCTCGCTGCACGAGGAATATAGGATGCCGAGGTAGGATCATCAGGTGGCAAGTGTGAGGCAAGGCCATGTATGGATGTAGGTGGTGAACGGTGCGAGACCAATCGAGCAGGATGATCCGTGTTGGAGGTCATCATGTACGATCACAAGAGTATGATAACGAGAAATACTGAACTGAAGCCAAAAGGTCGTGGGGAAGGTCAATGATGAAGGAATAAATAACGAATATCACCCAATGGAAAACGAGAAAAGGATGACACAAGGGAAAATCAGAACCGGGGTGGTGGACATCATAACGAATGTTGGTCTTTTTCCTCATAGACATGAGCCGTGCCAAGATCCATCAAGACAGCTAATCACTCAGCGGCTTTAGTGTATCGGGTGGCCGTGACGAATGGATGCCCACGTGGAATCACTTGAACATGTACAGCAAAGCCGGTGTCTTGTGCATCTGGATGGGGTGTCAGCAGCAATGGTGAACACTCACGGGTCGTGAAGGCATCGAGATGTTGATGAGTTTTCCATCTCGGGTAGAACCAATTCAAAACATCCAGAAGAGAATGAGGAAGGTCGTCAAGCATCTGAGCTCCTTGATCGGTGTCAATCATCATGTAGAACTCCGACGCTGGTAGGTGTATGGACCAGCGTTGTAGCAACGTGTCGGTGACGACGGTTTGAGGTCTGAAACGAAATGACTGCGAGCATAGTCCGGGTAGATCACCTTGAACGTCTGGAACAAGCTGTCATAGGTGGCCGTAGGAAGGTTGCCCGCGACTTTGGGGTTCAAGATGTTGTAATAAGGGTTGCGTACGGCCAGTTGTTGCATCGGCTTCAGGTCCAACTGGAAAATAACCGGTCGGTGAGGTGTCGGAGGCGAAGACCGGTTGGGTGGGTGCTGAAATGACGTAGAGCCCATAGCGGAAGATGACGTCCTGGTTGGAGAGCGTGAGCGTCGTGTAGGTGAGATCCTCTCGTGGGACATAGCTCGCTGTTGGCAATAGCGGTCCAGGTGAACGCGGAGAGACATAATAAATGGCTGGCGGGTTGTGTGATACGACGTGTCAGAATTCAATGGGACAACAGCGCCCATGGTTCTGAAGATTAACAAGAAGAAAATTCCCAAAAGGAAGGCCAACTGGTTGGTGAAACAGGAATACCGTACCGCAACGTACCTTTTTCTTTTGGTTCGCATATGTCATTGGTCAGCCAAGTTGGTCTTTGATCTTATTCCACATAGAGCGAACATCTTCTTCAGACTTGCCCATCTTGGTCGAGATCACCTTCCATGAAAATCGAGATTTCTCGTCAGCCTTCAGAGTGCGTAGTTTCTGTTTGTCTTCAGAGGTCCAGAGTGACA